ATAATAGAGATATAATCTAAAATATAAAATTATTTATCTATCTTTACTTAATAGTTTAAATTGAGCCCTTTATTTTTTAAATTTTTAATAAATATTATATAATTTCTTAATATAGATAGGTGAACACATGCATTATTGACCATTTTAACTCCAATGATCCATTGTACGAGGAAATTTATTATAAATATAATCTAGTATATAAAATTATTCACTTGCTTTCATCCAACAATTTAAGTTTTTTCCGATGATTAATTGCGTGTTGGGGTTCAACAATGAATATTTTGTATTTCATTTTATATTATTAACATATTCTCTTGAAAATGAAGCAACATTAAACGTCTTAGTTTATGGGTGATAATATTTTTGTTTTCTTTTTGCAGGCAAAATGCAGTAAATGCATGCAGTCACAAATGCTAGATGGATTGAAGTTTTTATAGTTCGGCCTAGTTAAGTGATGCATTCACTGAAGAAATAATCTCTTTTTAATTCACGCTTTTTGTTTCATACTTCCTTAGGGGTCGCAAAACAGGTCGACCCGTCCTGATCCACCCCGACCCACTCCCAACCCGTCAAAAGTGGGTTGGCCCGCCCCGCCCCGCCTCTTGAATTTGGGTTGAAAATCTCAACCCGTCCCGTTTTATGATAGGTTGGTGGGTTGGCGGGTCAGCCCGTTTAAAAAATAAAAAATAAATTATATTTTGTTAATATTATAATATTACTTATTTTCATATCACATTCTTCTTAGTTTTTTTTAATCTTAAGTCTAAATGTATTCTAATATTTAGTCAGATATTCTTTACAAACTTATTTTTATCTCCACACATAAATTGCCTTTGTCATAAATAAATAAAAATTTCTATATTTTTTCTAGAAAGTACTAAAATAACAAAAAATTGGATATCACAAAAGCTTAAAAACAAATAAAACACTACTTAATAGTAAAAAAAAAAAATTGACCCGACAGACCAACCCGTCCCGACCCTCCTCCAACCCATTTTGACCCACTACCCAACGGAGCGGGTTGAGACGGGTTGGTGGGTTGAAATATGTAACCCAACCCGCCCCATTTTGACGGATTGACCCGTCGAGTTCAACCCATATTGTCACCTCTATACTTCCTAGAGTTCTAGTTTCAGATGTTTGCTTTAGCAAATGTGAACGAGGATAATCAGATTTGATAAGAAACAAGTCACTACCATTCAGATGCCTTAATCAATTTTAGATTTAATAAAAAAGATTTGTGACAAAAAAAAAATTAGAAATAGACCGAGAAAATAATAAATTATAAGAAAGTGAAGTGTTTTCTACTCTTTCTACAAAAAAAGAAAAGAAAATGAAGGTCAATTAATGATTCCTTTTCTAACATATCGGCGCAAGGGGACCTTAAATAAAAGAAAATGGAAGTTAATGAAGGTCAATTAATGTGAGAATGTGGTTGGAAACAATTGGGTAGGAAATTATCTTATGCCAAAAGTTGACATGGATGAGTCACTAATCTGGAAACGAGAGTTTTTATGGATAAAGCATGTATGCACCTTTTTGAAGTTGATGCATGGGGAAACTTGAGGCCTTTCAGATTATGCTTTGAGGGATACCATTTTTGTCTTTGTGAGCGAGACTTGGTTCATTAATTTGTCTAGCTAGTCTTTATGATGGTCTCCAACGTACCCTTTCTTGCCAAATGTAAAAAGGCAAACCACACTAAAGCATGTCCCATTCTTCAACCCACATTGGGAAAAACATCTTTGGCAATGGCAGGGACACAAACACAACCCCCAGACTGTGCCACAATGACAGTTTGTCCAAATGCTTTGCAGTTCCCAAACGACACCGTTTTAAAAAGATCTCTTCCCCCTATCCATTTTATTTATTTATTTATTTAACGGGCATATCATTTGTAAAACAAATAATTAATCTTATATCCAATTTTTATCATATTTAATAATTTATCTAATTAATAAATTCGGACTGTATAAAAATTATTTCAATTCAAAAATTTAAAATTTTAGATAAATGTTGCATTAATAATTTTATATTTTTTAATATGTTCTCACATACAAATACATATTTATTAATACAATTGAGTGCGATAAGCATCCAGCTCTTGATCACTTGGTCATAAAAGCTAATTGAGTGCGATGAACATCCAGCTCTTGATTATTTGGTCATAAAAGTTCTTGTACTATATAAAAAATTATTTCAACCTAAAAATTTAAATAAAGTTGTGTAAAATAACTGACAAATTATTTTTCTTGTGAATAACGCATATCCACCTTTAAATTTTTAGGTTAATATTATATTAATAATTTTATATTTCTGCTAAATAAAAATGAGACAAATAATTACTAATGAATATAAAATTAATACAAGTTACACACACATATATATATATATATAAATGGGTTTGATTTTTCTTATGTTGCATGAGATAATTTGTCTCATGCAACATACAAAAAAGTGGATGAGACCCACTACGAAGAAGAGAGAAAAAGAAAATGAGTCCCATTTACTTTTGTGTGTGTTGCATGAGATAAGTAGAGCTAAATTAGTCTTTTCTCTTATTTAATTATTTCATAAACTTTTTTAGGTGAGCTAGGATCATTTTACATCGATCTAAGTTACACTCTCAATTTTGATCATTGATCTTATTTATATCTATATTCTGATTTATTAAATATTTGAGTCATTCAATGCAAGTAAATCAATAATACAGAATTGATATAAGACTTTTCATTCTTATACCGATATAAGAATATCATACCTTTTTTATGTTATTCAATAGGGTGGTGCTCATTATGTTTGCTTAGGAAGTAAGTAGAGCTAACCTGACCAAATATAATTGGCACAAATAATAAAGAGTTTGAGAAAACAAAAAGAATTTGAGAGAACTAACCTGCAAAATACATCCTTAATGTGTTTTCCAGGTTAGCTCTACTTTCTTTTCTTTTTTTTTAGTTTCAACCGATTCATTTTTTGAATTACATTCGGTTCAAGTATTTGTTTGATGTTCGTGTTTGGAGAAAAGAGGGCCGAAAAAACAAAAAGGAAACTTGAAACAGGAAAAAGAAAAAGGAGAAAGGGAAAGTAAAAGACAGAGGGTGGAAAATAAAGAAAAAAGAAAAGAAGCGAAAGAAAAAGAAAGCAAGACAGCGAAATGTGAGTAAGGGAAGGCAGAAGCAACCCCCCCCCCCCCCTCCTTTCTCTCTCTCTCTAGAAACCTCATTGTGATGGCGTGATTTACTTTTACTTTTTCTCTCGACAGGAATCTTTGAAAATCAAAAGCATCCCCATGAAACAAGAACAAAAGGGAAAAAAAAAAAAATATTACGATGAAGAAAAAAAGGAAAAAAAATAAACTTTAGTAACGAGGAATATATAAAGAGAAAGAAGGGCATGTGCAAATGTGCAATGTGTAGAGGGTGCCCTGTTCTTGTGTAGTAATTTATGGTTTGCTAATGACACACCTGGTTAGTACCACTATGATATTGGTGTTGTTGGAACTTGGTGTGAAATGAAGAAAAGACAGAGATTGCCTTGATTTGGTTAGGCTAGTGATAAGATTGTTATATTGGTGGCTACAATGGTGGCCTTGGTCTTATACTGTTTTTATGATTATTTGTGTGCTCGTGCACATAGAGACCAGACAAAAGTATGGCCCCTGAAAAGAAAAACAAACTCAAATCCTAAAATAGATCACCTTGTTATGAATTTGAAATCAACAGAAAGTTATATTGAAGGAGTGAGTTCGAAGGAAAAAAATAAAAAATAATATATCTTTCATTTATATTCTTATTTAACATACATTTAATTACATAATACAAAATGGGTCTAAAGATTGTACAACTGGTCCAAAAAATTCGAGATCAATAAGCTGTCCAAGAAAAAAAAGAAAGATGCTTGAACAAAATGCACAATCCCCAATCCTCATTCCCTTCAGAGAACAACAACCTCTCAGTGTTAATTTTCAGTAAATAGGGACAAGTTCTGACCACGAAAGCATCTTCCCACAAGGGACTGCCCGCGCAACTTAAACTATCCACGTTAAAAAGCAAAAATAAAAATAAAAAATAGTAATGTTATTATATTTAACTTTTTTTTATAATATGTTACAATTATTTTATTATTATTATTATTAAATCAAATTCAAATTGATAATTCTCATTTAATATCATGTTATAATAGTTGGTTTGATTTTTGATCCCATATTTTATAACAATTCATTTTTTTTTGGTGTGGTATAACAATTCATTTGATTTTGATGGAATAATACAAAAACATCCAATAATTTAAAACATTTTATTTGATTTGAACCGAATAATAGAAAAATGACTATGAATATAATCTCCCTCGTGTTACAAATTCCAAATTCGAATATTTAGAATTCAAATTTTTTCTTGTTTTTAATAAAATTTGGAAAAAATATTTATAAAAGATGGTCATTTTAATTAAATTTTAAAAAAAAATTTATACTTCTCATTCAACATGAGAATTGAAATCCTCCTACACATTTTCGATTTTCCTGCTGACACTCGTCTTACACATAATTTTTGTTAACATATGAATCTCATGTATTTTTTTTTTTATCACATAAAATTTCAATTCTAATATAACTTGAAAATTATAAAATCTTAAAAAATTACCCACTTTCTTTTCACATAGTCAAATTAAAGAAAAAAGTATACTTCTATACACAAAATAAAATAAAATAATATAAATAAAAATATAATTCTATGTATTTTAAAATGAAAAATATCGAATCCATAAAATTTTCCTTTTAATAACTAATTCTTTAAGTTTCTCGCACCACACTTTCTTCAAGCTGCAACCTTCTCTCTCAATCTCACTCTCTTTCTCTCTCTATCATACACACAAAAACAGAGACACAGGGCACATTCACTTCATTCATTCCTTAGCTTCACACCAAAACATTTAATCTTTCTCTCTTCTCACCTCACCCATAACATGACCAGACAGCAAAACTCCACACCCCATTTTCTGTTATGAATCCCACAGCACCGCCACCACAACCACCGCAACCGCCACTGCAGCCACACAGACCCTCTACATCCTGCGACAGCCACCCAGAAGAGAATTTCACGGGCTTCTGTCCCTTATGCCTCTGCGAACGCCTCACATTGCTCAAACCCTCTTCTTCACCCTCCCCTTCCTCAGCCCGAAAGCCCCCCACTTCCTCCTCCGCCGCCACCGCCGCGCTTAAAGCCGTCTTCCGGCCACCCTCTTCTTCATTCTTCCCGGAGCTTCGCCGAACCAAGTCTTTTTCAGCTTCAAAGAACAACGAGGGCTTCTCCGGAACCTTCGAGCCACAAAGAAAATCTTGTGACGTTAGAAGCACCCTCTGGAACCTCTTCAACCAAGACCACAACGAGAAGAAGACACTTAACAAAGAAACTTCACGGGTCGTTGAAGCTGAGGCTGAGGTTCATGTTGATTCCAAAAATATAGCATCTTCTTCTTCTTCTTCATCCACCACTGTTCAAGGACCTGTTGTTGAGTTGAAGGAAGAGGAGAAGGTTGAAGAGGAAGACGATATTAGGGTTTTGGGTGAACCCAATGTGAATAACGAGATCGTTGAAGAAGAAGAAGTTGTTGTGCAAGAAGAAGAAGAAGAATTTAAGACCATGAAGGACCATATAGATTTGGATTCTTCACAAGCGAAGAAAGTGAGAGACTTGAAGGAGATTGCAGGGAGTTTTTGGTCTGCAGCTTCTGTTTTCAGCAAGAAGTTGCAGAAATGGAGACAGAAGCAAAAATTGAAGAAGCGAAGGAGCGAGGCTTTGCCGGTGGAGAAGCCGATCGGACGGCAATTCAGGGAGACACAGTCGGAAGTCGCCGATTACGGCTTTGGCCGGCGGTCGTGCGACACGGATCCGCGATTCTCGCTCGATGCCGGCCGGATGTCATTAGAAGCCGGCCGGATGTCGTTGGACGATCCGAGGTACTCATTGGACGAGCCCCGGGCTTCATGGGACGGTTACATGATCGGAAAACCGGGTTTTTTGAGAATGCCGACGATGTTGTCGGTTGTGGAGGATGCACCGGTGCAACATGTTTTGAGGACTGATACACAAATCCCTGTTGAGAATGAGGATGATTCAGTCCCTGGTGGGTCATCACAGACCAGAGAGTATTACAATGATTCATCATCTAGGAGAAGGAAGAGTCTTGATAGGTCTAATTCCCTAAGGAAAAGTAATGTTTCTGCTGCGGATATGGAAGAGTTGAAGTCAATTTCAGTTTCAATTGCTGATAATGCCCATGCCAAGGTGACTCCTGGTGGTGTTGATTCCATCCATGGGGTGAAAATGGATTTCCAAGACCGAGATTTGAGCTTGAATATTTTGAGGGATGATTGTTGTTCGGAGACATTAGATATGGGTGGATCTGTGATTGGGAATGGGGACCGGAAAGGGTCGAAGAAGTCACGCCGGTGGAGCAAGCCATGGAGCATTTGGGGTTTAATTCCCCGGCGAGGTGGGAACAAGGATGAGGATGAGGATAGGTATAGTAGAGTGAATGTGAATGGGGTTGAACGTTCCTTCTCAGAATCATGGCAGGAGTTCAGAGGTGGTGATGGAAATGGAGATGGTAGAGCTGGTTTCAATGGAAGGGTGTTGTTAAGGAGCAATAGTAGCGTGAGTTGGAGAAATGGTCAAGGTGTTGGTGGGTCATTTGGCACTCTGAGGAGGAATGGTGTTCAGGGTAATGGCAATGGAAAGAAGGGTAAGGATGAGTTTGTGTTGGAAAGGAACAAGAGTGCAAGGTACTCTCCTAACAATGTTGACAATGGTCTCTTGCGTTTCTACTTGACTCCCATGGGAGGTAGCCGGAGAAATGGTTCCGTGAAAAGTAGGTCTAACCAGGCTCATTCTATTGCAAGAACCGTGCTTGGTTTGTTTTAACATTGAATGTTCATAAGGTGTTGTTTTGGTATGTTGTTGTTAATTTTGCTGCATTTCTTGTGTAAACCACACATGCCTTATGTATTCATGATGGTTGGTTGGATAAAGCACCTTGCATTTTTATTTTACAGTGAGTAGCATGTTTCTTCAGTTTACTCTTAATAACAAAGAGTTTTCTTTTACTCTAAATATGCTGCTGTAAGTGACTTCAATCTTTTCCTTCAACCCACATTATATTTTCTTTAGTATGCTAGAGAAAGGCCGAGACATATGGCTAGATTCATGGCACTACTCAAAATATGATTTGTCTTTGGACTCAATATGGTTTCTTTTTCTGTCTTTATGCTGCAAAAGCTTAGCTAAATGATGTAAGGTTGGATGGCTTAGAATTTGGGAGCATTTTAACTTGAATTTTTGGCATGTTATGTATTCCTGCAAAAGTGGTTACACGGTGGGCTCATGCCACCTGCTATTGCTGTTTTGTCATAAGGTATAGTTTTGAGTACAACAAGATAGTTGTGGTGGATCCTTTTTTTCCTTGGGATCAATTAATCAAACTTTAACACATGTGACTTACTCAGACCATGGTCCCAATAAAATACAAGCTCATATCTATATATCTATGTCGACCAGAGGATGGTATGTGACTAAAAGGAAAATTTAGAGCATTGAAATTTTTTATTGTAGTAAAGAGTTCTACTGAAATTTGACTTCACAAAGGTGGAGTAAACTCCTTTGGACGTTTCTGTATTAAGGTTGCAAACGTCTCTATGAGGTTTTGTATGGTAGTTTTAAGATTATTAGGACATTGTAACCATTATGACAAGTTGCAATATTTTCACTGTTGTGGACAGCGACCTCAATGTAATTTTTTTGGTTACCAAGACAATGAATAGTGTGCGTACATATGGAGGGTGTTAATAGGAACAAGACAACAGTAAAAGAATATATAGGGATTAAAGTGCAGAAGGTTGGCCCTCTATGTTTGTAAAAGAAGAACAATTTTGCAGATTCCGTGCGGGAGCTACTGATTGACTTGAAACTTGAGGAATATTAATGCTACTGGCAATCTGGCATGTTAGGTCAACCTCATTTGAAGCTTGATGGTTGATATGTTTTGCCTATAAAGGCTTATTTGGTATAGAAAGTATAGCAGGTTCTTGCTTTTTTGTTCTTTTATTCCTAAGTACTGTATTAAGTGCTTCCTCTTTAGTTTTTCACAGGAATGATGGACCTTATAACAAGTGAAACAATCTTAGTCATCCACAAATATATCAATGGTTATCTTTATTCTAATGCACCTTTTATAACCGTTGATTTGTCCGTGTCCTGCTGAGTTACTCTGGATTTTGCCTGAGGATGACAAATGTGTCTTAGCATGTTGGCCATTGCTTTTAAGACTATTATCCAAAGATCATGGTGTATAAATGTTTATTCTGTAAAAGGAAATAAGTTCTCTCTTAAAATTTTAAAATGATATTATTTTGGGATTTGAAAAAAAAATTATTTTAATAAAATTTGTAATATAAGAAGAAAATAATTTTTTTAAATTTTTTTAATCCATAAAATAATATAATTAGAATTATTGAAAATAATTTTATCTATTATAGCATAAATATTTGTTTTCATATTGTAAAGCTTCAACATTAGAACCGCTATTTATAAAATAAGACCTTGAACAGTTGAGATTCTTTGCGATTTTTCAATTATTTCATTGTATATTTGTATTAGAATATTATTACTTGGTACACATTTTCTTCACTACACTGGGCATGCACAGATTAAGGTATGCAGATTTTGGTTGCCACAAAACAGTTTTCTAAGAAGAGAATTGCCGACCTTCGAGAACCACATTGAAAAGCAAATGATGCAGAATATATGGGTCGGTCCCCTAGTAAAAAATTGCATAGATGTGATTTGTCGGTTCAGCGTCATTATTCATCCTTTGCCATTTGCCAATGTTGTCATGTGTTAATTATCTCAATAAGCTCGAAGTTGTATACTATATATTGTTGGAGTCGACGCAATCCAAATAGGAATAATAAAAAAAAAAAAAGAAAAAAAAAAAAAGACAACAATTTACTTTAGTTCACTCAAAATAAGTTACTTGCAGCATGTTTGAATTATATTTTTTTAATACTCTTATTACAAGTTACTCAGTTTACAAAAAAAATATAAATAAAATTATAAACCCAAAACAAAACCCAAATTAATCAAATTTCTACGGTTTCGGGAGCGCTGCCTTCAAACCCCGTCGAAACAGTTCCCCTAGATCCCCACTTGTTCAGCATAGAGTAGGACTCTCGTTGGTTTTTTTTTAGCCCCGCAACAAAAATTGTTATATGAATACAAAGTATGAACCATATTTAACATATATAATATGAGTTTACATATTTTAATGTGTTTTCTCATGTAAAAATCAAATTAACTTCAAAATGTGAATTTTTTATTTTAATTATAGTAATGAGGGTGGCAAAGCTTAAACCTAAGATTATTTTATAAATTTATGAATTGGTGAGTTTATACAGGATTCAGATTATTTTTATTTTTCATTTACTTGTAAAGATTGACTATATTTTGATATTTTCGTTATTTATATTTTTTGACGGAAAAAAGATTATAGTTTTTGTAGTTATTTTCTTTGGTCTATTATGTAGTAAATTGAACGACAATTTTTTCTTTAAAAAAGGACATTTAAGTATAATATGATCTATAAAATAGCCAAAAATTTCTCTTGAATTGTATTGAATTAAATCATTAATTATGGGAGATAAAGATTGTATTTTTCACATTATAAAATTATCTAAAGAAAAAGATAAATATAAATACTTTAAGGGTTAAATTTTTTAATTTTTTTACAGAATTTTTTTACTACCAAACTGACATAAAAATGAATGGATCCTACTAACTTCTTCTCTCTCTTCTTTTTAAATTGCGGCATGCTCAATTTTATGTGAGTGTGGCAAAGAAAAAAATTTCTAAAGTAAAAATATTTTTCCAATACTTTAAATGACCTTATTATATAAAAATTTAATACCGTTACTGATAATATGATACTATTGTGACTTTGTCACTTTGACTTTGACATTGTCAATTTATTCTCTATAGTAGTTCTGATAGCACTTTGTACCTGATTAAATTTATAATATAATCATTAAATATTATTTTATTCTCTCAAAAGCAATTTTTTTCGTCAACTTAAAAAAGTTGTTTGTATGTTAATGTTTGGTATTTATCTCGATATATGCACTTTGTTCAATATACTGGTTTCCGCTACTTAAGTTCTTGTCTATTTCACACGCTATTGTAATAAAGATTGGCTGTACCAAAGGAAAAATTGTCTCTAAGGCAGTTATATATATAAAGTTTAGATCTAGAAGTTGCTAAGTACGAAGCAAGCGAGCAATTTGTTTTTAAGTGAACCTAATAACTTGAATATTATATTATTCTTGTTAATTTGTTCAGCGCTTTAAATATAGAGGCTTTTAAGTACATAAGTTACACAATTCAAATATTAAGAGTGTTACACAATTCAAATATCAAGAGTGTTACACAATTTAAATTAAAAAATAATAAAAGTGTCTAGGTGAAATACAAAATTCAATTTTTTTAAAAAAATTACCATTAATGTTACCATGATAATTATTATTAGGGTTTTATAAGAGTTATGTTGTAGAAAAGATGATTGTGTTATGTTATATAAATTCATTTTGCGTGCCGCAATTTTTTTTTTAAAACATGCTGATCCCACAAAATATTGTGTGTGTAGAAAATTTTTTGTGGTCATATTAAATGATAGATATAAATCCGTTATTATTAATGCTACAATCATAACGCAACCTAACAAGTTGGGAAAAAAAGTGACCGAAAAGTAAAAAATAAATAAATTCAAAAGCACTTTAAACTGTAGGTGAAAGCTCAAATCCGGTCAGGAAGACAGAAATTAGAAGTTAATAATTGTTGCTCAAAATATAAGATCATTATGTGTCCCACCACGATATTGAAGGAACAAAATCCGTTCCCGTTTCCAGTACCAAAGTCTTATATTTGTGCTTTCTCCCTTTTCAATACAATTTGTAAAGCTTCATTATCACCGCATTTGCCACAGAAGTCAAAAAGCATGGAGGAAAACATGTCTACATGTTGCTCCTTGCTCCAATGGAGAATTTAAGTGACGAAGAAAGCAAATTATGGAAGGAAAAAGAAAAGGCTCATACCCCAATGGCATGTCCAGGTCAATTTTCAATGGTTTTATAATTAAAAATATTATTTAATATCAAAACATTTCATAACGTGTTGAAATATAATATTTTTTAAAATTAATATATCAGAGTATCGTATTGTGTCATGTCCCGTATCAATATTGGTGTAACATAAATTGTTACTTGGCCTATTTGATAATAATTCTCCCTAACGATAACAATTTTCAATACAGCCTGAACTAATTGTTAATTGAAATATGAGAACCGAGTATTATTATACCAACTTAAAATATTGATATGTAAGAATTTATGTTCAAAACTTATAAATAGAATTGGTAATATTCATTCCATTATTAACCGTCGAATAGCAAACGGCCTCACCATTTCTCTTTTAAAGGGGCGTTTGTTTCAGGATATCTCAAAAATTTTCTAGCTAAGTGCATGTTGCATTCTTTGTTCTCGGCGTTTGATAAAATGAAATCATGACTTTTATCCATGAAACATACTTGCCTATCTATTTACAAATGCATGTAAAAAAGGTGGGAATACACCGTTAACGAATGCTATTTGCAACATGGTATTTTTTGGAAAATCGGAGAAATTGAAAAAGTAGATGAAGATCAAGACAAGAATACCCCTCTTCTTAACCGCATGTAACATTCAAAATTTTATAAAAAGGTTACTTTCGTAATTTCAATCTATTTTCTCATTAAATTTTTATTTTCAACCAAACATACACTCAACATATTTAACCAAATTTTCCTAGTAATATTTTGCGGTGCCAAACAACTTTTTTAAACTTTCCTTCCAAACTTACTTTCCTATGTTTTTCATTGTAATTACATTTTTTTAATAAAAAAAAATTTCTCCTGAACCAAACACTTCCTTAGTAAATTTTTTTATTGCAAATATAAATATTGTAATATATCAATTTTTTTTCCAAAAAATAAAAATCTGAAAAAAGTTTCATGTTCATTGGTACTGTAATTATTGCAAATAGTACTTTTGAGACAAAGTGATTTTAATTTTTTTTTTTTTTTTTTCTAAAAATGATTAATTGGCTTGCAAATTGTAAGACGGAAAGGCTCTCTAAAGACATCGACATACAGAACTTGTACTTGTGGGGAGGGGATGCTTCTTTTGGTTTCTTCGTTTCCTTGTCTTGGGCGTTTTATCAGTGTGCTTCATTCACCACAGGGACTATCCAAGCACTCCCTTAAGAAAATCTTGTCGTAGGTTATGGGTCTGAGAGAGAAGAGTTTTGAGGTTCTCCAAGTATTACGTAAAGAGACATCAAAATTTGAAATGCTCAAAAATATTATCTCTGGCTTATAAAACTTTAGAGATAAATGCAAGCTATTAGCCTTCCGCTCATATAGGCTAAATAACCATGTTTTTACCTAATGATATTATTGAATTATATTATTAATATATCCAACTAGTACAACTGCACGAGCTTTATCCCACTTAAAATAAAAGTCTGTAACTAACTATTAACTGACATAAAATCGCAAGCCAAAGCCGCAACCTCCAAGGATGGCTAATGTTCTTGTGTCAAGGTATTTATGTGCATACTTAGAGGTAGCTCTTTTTTAAGCTTCAGAATTATGATTCATGACAATTCCTTCTAATATCTAGGATTCTCACATTCCTTATTTCTCAAGCTTAGAAAAGGAAAGTAGTTACATATCCCTATGTCTTGTTATGATTTGGATGACTAAATAAAATATCCATTATTTATGACACTCTCCTTTGAGCAGCAACTACTTCTAATTTCATACACTTCTAGTACATTGCACAAAATATTTTCACTGTACAGGGTACACATGCTTTAGCTAGCTACCCTGTTAATAACTTGATATCCGATGGAAATTGAGAAAAGGGTTTTTCATGTTATTCTATTCATTTCAAATTTTCGATTTTCGTCCAATCTTCAACCTGTACTCCATCAACTCCAGTCTCCTGAAAAATTTGAAGGCTGATGAGATGTAGGAGAGGTTGCTGCAGGGAAGTCTGTTATTCCAAATGTTGCAACTTAACAATGTTATGATCAGTGTGATGTGCAAAAGAGCTTATGAGGAGACGGTTGAGGTTGTGAGTTCTGAGAAGAGATGGGAAAGAATGTTTCTTGCAAATTGAATCCACATGTAGGGGATTGCAAACTGCACCATACTATTCAATTCTTTGGTGGGAAATTAGTGTCAAAGGTTGCTTTTCCAACAGCAGTGTCCAATAATATCCTTAAAAATGGACTGTGTAGAGCAGAAAGATATGGTGATCTTTACATGAAGAAAATGGTGGAAATAGGGTAGAAAACAGATATTATCTTGATTGTCAAAGCAAGAAGATTGATATTGACCTTAGGCTGTGATATCAGCTTGTAAACATGGGCTCTATGCATGATATTACTGTGTGCAAAATTGTAATTCATGGACTTTATGGAAGGTTTTGAGGAAATCGGGTGCTGTGAAAAAGTATGGTGAATTTGTGCTCGCATCTCAGAAGATGGCATACAACCAGATAACATCTCGTATAATATTAATGTTAAGGGGCATTGCTCTTGTGGTAGATTAATGGATGCAATTGGGTTTTTGGATGATGCTTTGGTGCTTGGAGTTCCCCTAACTACCATTATTTGGAGTATGCTAGTTACAGCAGTGATTATTTAAGGATCTTCAACTTGATGCTTCTGGGCTCTAAATAGATTTAAGTAATTTTTCAGCTCCTCCTACTTGTTGAGTACACAAGCCTTAGGTTATGCTTGGGAAATGAGACTTTTGTTGAGAGCCCAAGTAGAGTGCTTAATTGTGTTTTGCGCAATTCTTTTTGCCTTGTGTGAGTGCCTACATCACCTCTATGGCTCTGCCTGCTGAGGCCCTTCCTCTTCTTGGTCCTAGTTCCCCATTTGATACATTGTACACCCCTATCTATCCCTATACAAACTTAGCCAAAATGGGGTAAAATTTTCTTACTCGGATTTCACTATCCTAATCCTTCATGCTGAATTGTGCTAGAAAGTTCACTTGCATGACTTGATGAACTAGTCAACTATGCTTCTGCAATTCTGGGTTCAAGTGTTGTCACCTAGCAGGGGAAATATTTAATATGGTCCAGGTCTATCTATGGATTCAGTGGTCCAAGCCAATGAAAAATTGATATATTCTGACTTGCTTACATGGAGGAGAGAGAAATTTTGTTTTTTTCTTTAAGTGGCAGCTCCTCAATGGAAGGAGCAGGTGTGCCAGGACTACTATAAATAATCTCCCTAGCATGCATGGCTATGCTTTCTGCATTTACACATTGACATACCAGAAGACCGGATAAACACACTTCAAGATGATGTACATGTTATACTAATTGCATATAAAAGCGCAAACTGCATTACACAAGGCTTCTGGACTCGTAAGGGTAGGGGTAATGGTCGATTGTAGTAACCATATACTTGAACTTATGCAAACAAGTTATTTCTCGAATTCGAACCAGTAACCTTCAATAACAAGCAACAATTTTAACTCTGCTCAAAAGGCTCGCCCTCATTATACTAATTGCATATGCAGTTTAAAATTGTGATGTCATGGGTGAAGCTGGATTTGGAATTTATTTTTACCTTAAAGGTGGCGAGTGTTCCAATTTTAATATCACCAAACTGTGTTATATTAGTATTTGGTTAGTTACTTTAGACATACGACTCAGTTTTGGTCCATGTGGCTCTTGTTATTCAATATCGGTGTTTGGGTTATGCATACACTTTCATGAAATAAAAGAATACCATAATGGTTTCTACTTTAGCATGAAGAGAGTTTGGAATTTTTGTGTGAGATAATGGAGAAGAAATAAGCAGAGTCATGTTTTGATTTGTGGGATAGTAATCTGCCACGGGCGGTAATTGTCTACAAACTTCTCTTTTTCCATGCAGGACACCTGTTTTTAAGATTCAAAGAAAGAATTTGACCTTGACTTCGTATAGTTTCTAATAACTTATTTATCTGATAGAAACATGTAGAGATATGTTGTGATTCTAAATACACAATTGGAATAGCTATGCTAATGAACGAGAAAGCTATAGCTTTTTTTTCTTTTCTTTTTTCTGTATCAGCATAATATTTAAAGAAATTCTGCATTTCTACAGCATCACATGGTAACTTTGTTACCCAAATTTTGGACATTGTAGTGATATCACCAATATATCAGCTGTAGTTGGTGCCAAAGCAAAACTGCTTCATGAATCAGGTCCAAGTTGTGATTAGCTCTCACTTGGGGCTATATATTCAATCATGTAATACCCTTTCGCCACAGAAACTTAAATGATCAAAACAAAAGATGAACGATCTTGTGTTCTTTACCTCTTCATTACTCGTCTTTCTTGTTGTCATTGTTTTGTTCATAGATGAACAAAGAAAATAAGGCCACGAGAGTAGCTCCAAGAACTACAACTTTTCTCCAATCAGTACTTGAGGATGAGGCAATAGAATCAACTATTCCAAAAGTCAGCAAGCCAATAAAGAAAAGGTAAACATTTTTCCTGGTTTTGCTACCATCTTTTTCTCTGGGCACATCTTTGATCTTTTCCACCTCCACCTTGGCTTTGTCCTTATCAACAGGTACCTTCTGCCCAAGATTCTTAAAGAATAGCCCTTCATTTCGGTCCTTCTCCATTTTACCTTCCAACTCCACTATTTTGGTTTCATTCTCCTGAATCTCTTGTCTGTTAAGTTCAGTAGATTCCTCAAATGCTAGCATCTGGTTCTCAATGTTTGCTGTTATCTGTTAATCACAAATGAATATAATACAAAAGGGTCATCATTGAAGTAATTTTTACTCGAATTCTCCTTGATGTTGTATGCATCGTTTATTCAAAAGTTAAAGCATTTACATACTCTAGCACCTGCTTCATCTAATTCTTTGAGGGCATCTTCTCCAATCTTGTCAAACTCAGCTCTGGCTTCTTCACCAAATTGTGTTAAATATGTTGATCTCTCGTCAAGATAATCTGTGAGACGAACTTTTTGAGTTTGGAGCATGGCAATTTGGGCTAGAAGCTCTTGCTTTTGAGCATCTCCTTCAGGTTGTGGAGTTTGGGAATCAGATTCATTGGACTTGCAGAGGCACAAATTAGAGCTTCTTGGGTTGGAGTGTCTAGTGTGGTGGAGTGTGTAAGTGGTATTGAAGGAAGGGTGAATGGCTTTCAGGGCAATCATCTTTTGATAACAGAAGCTGAATTTGTATTTTCAGGTGAACATAAAAGAAAAGGTGAAGTGTTTGGGCATGAAAGATTTTTGAACCTCACGTTTCTCCGTACATTATCTATTGGTTTACAAGGATGAGGATGCTTCGGTAAACGGATAAGGTTGTTTTGTCTTTGCACCAATGAATGCACTACTACTAGTTTTTGAGTTTTGACTTAGGTGGAAGTTTTTGATAATAAAATAGTACGGGATTTTGATATAGGACAAAAAAAAATTTATTCGGTAATTACAATTTTTAGAGATATGATAAAAAAACGAATTTATTCAAAATGTTATCAAAAAATTATTTGGTAAGTCAAAATATTCTCAAAAATAGTGAGTTAGTTTTCTTTATATTATGTTTGGTTGAATATAGTGTCAATTTTTTTGTGTTAAAGTTTTCGTTGTCATGGGAATCCTAGAATACTACCCCGGGGTGGTATTCTTGGATGGTATTTTCAGAAAATTTTACGCACAAAATAAAATTTCGAAAAAATTAGATTCTCGAAAAAAAAATAGAAATCTTGTACCAAATATGGATAAATAAAATTATCATCCTCAGTTTCCCGGGAATTCTAAATTTTTTTTTTCTACCAAACGCCCCCTTGGGTATATATATATTTGATGTTTTTCGTTATCTCTTAGGTATATATAAAAGTTTGTGAGGTTTATATGGAGTCATATGAAAATAAAAAAAATAAGCTCATACACTTTTATATATGATTAGAAAATAATTTTATCTCCTATAACATAAGAGACAATAAATCCAAAAGCCTTTTTAACAGAAATGTTAATCGTTAATCTTTTTTTATATTAAAGGAGAGAAGATTTTTTCTTTTACATACACAAGAGACATGTAGAATCCACTAAAATAAAAGTGGACCCCACATATCTCTGCTCTTTGACCAATGGAGGGTTTTTAAATTTTTAATGTATTAATTTGGTATTTGATTCCCGATATTTACCGGTAGGGGTCGTTTAGTGTCGTGGGGCCCCCAGCGACACTGAGTGTTGCCGCCCGGGGGCGACACTCACACGATTGTGCCAAGTGGCATAATCTCGTTAACCATGCTATCATAAAACTTCGGAAGGCCGTAACTTTTGACTCAAGTATTTAAATCAGATGATTTTTTTATTTTACATAATTTTTCGAGATCTACACAATGACACCTCTTTTTTGCTCCAACTTTTTTTTGTATTGTTTTCTTCACAAAAATTAAATTTTAAATTAATTATTGTCTTGCACAGGTGTTGCTGCAACTCTAAGAGATATAAATTCAATTAATTAAAATCTCAACAAAATTGATTTGAAAATTGAAGAAGCTTAACAAATCAAGGGTTTCTACCTCTTCCTGCCAAAATTTGAATCTAAACACTCTTGTGATTGTGGAACTATTGTTGTAAATTTGAACCATATTTATGGAAGATAAAATATGTCAAATGAGGTGTCATTGCGTAGATATCAAAATTTTATATGAATTTTTTTTTTAACTAATTTGGATATTCGAGTCAAAAGTTACGATTTTCTGAAGTTTTACGGTAGCATGATTAACGAGATTGTGCCACTTGACACAATCGTGTGAGTGCCACAGGGGGTAAGGGGCGACACTTAGTGTCGCTGGGGTCCCCCAAGAAACTAAACGATCCCTATTCATAAATATCAAGAATCAAATACCAAATTAGTACATTAAAGAGGTGAAAACCCCTTTTGTATCATCCCCGTCTCGAGCCGGTTCAATTAACATACGTATGATACTAAACAGAAACAGCGGAAAACTTAACTTACAAAAATACGAGCTAACTTTTTCTTTAATCTTTTTTCACATGATATATCACATTGCATACTTCTCCTAGTTTAATTCTTATTTGACGAAGACGAAAATCGAATAGAGTCACCTCTGTAAATCGGACAACTGGAGATTTGCAAATCCCACTCTCAAGGTATCCTGATAAACAGTTTATACAATATATTATCTCAGCACTACCTGATATCCACATAGGACCATATACCCATCCATGGGCGCATGCATAACTTGGCTCCGTGCCACTATGTCTAACATCATGCATATCCAACATGTAATCATATAACTGAATATTACATCATGATATAAACATGCCTGAATACACAATTTTACATGCATCAAAGCGGAAACATGTACAAGACATATACAGGCCATATACAAGTATCCGATCAGACATAATGATCCACCAAAAGGAATGGAATACAAAATAATAAGAATATACTCCAGAATAGCAGTAGCCTACAGCTACTCAAAAATTTGATCCATCGTAGCACCTCTAACCACAAGTCGTGTCCATGCATTGTGAGGGCTCACCGGGAATCTGAGAACCTGAAATGATGTCCCCAAAAAGGGTGAGATAACAAATCTCAACAAGCTCCAGGTTTATAGAGAATTCTCCATACCCCTGGGCCCACTCCTGCATGAGAGTCAGATACAGAGTATATAAAACATCATATAACAGATATCATAACAGAACAAAGCATATAAATACATATCTTATCAAAGCGTACGCAGTCATTCCCAAGGGAGGACCCCAAGCGAAAATCAACGCACGTGTTTCCAAGGGAGGACCCCAAGCGAAACCAGAATATAACAGAGGTGCACACAGTCAGTCCCGAGGGAGGACCCCAAGCAGACACCAATGCACATACAATTAATGACCAAAGATCAATTCACAAATCACATCAGAACAAATCATATCATGTTATCAAATTGCTCTATATGAATGCATCTATACAAAGCATCAAATACGATCATACAATCCAACCATGGTCCAATAACCATGGTGAAGCACTCAAATAGGAAAAGACTCCTTAAAAATAGAGCGTACCTCTTGAAGCTTTACCAATGTGCTCACTTGAAGAACAAGCTATTTATCTGTCTCCATAAGAATCCAAACGTTCACAGTTCCTAGGCACACCTAGAGAAAGAATCCAAAACAAAAATCAATAAAATGATACCCTTCCATGTACTTTACACAAGGCATACATCTTATTGCTTACTTTCCTTTCTTGACACTAATGCCAAACATATGCCATTCATACAAGTCATAACCAGTTTTCTTTTTACTTAATCATATTAGGTTATTAGTGAGTGGTTCTTTGTTCAACAAATCTCGACAAAATTCCACATATTCACTTAGTCTTCGGATAGTCCCAAAAGGCCTTTAGAACACTCATTACTCCTCTTAGCACCTAAAAGTCTATTTTTTCCAAGTTAAGGAAGAGTGCCCATTACAAAGGAGCTATAAGATTTCTCTTTGTCTAGTGCCTAAACCCAAGCTTAGCCACCTATATAAATTATTTTACGGATAAAAGTGTTCTCACTTGGCGAAACAGTAACTCCAAACGTATACCTCCTTTGAAAATGGCCAAAACTCATTTTAAGGCCATACAAAGTAGCTACCTTATTTTCTTTTTTATTTCACCAAAACGAAGGTTCATACACCTTAGAATATTATTCCACGCATAAAAATATGCTCGTTTTGCAAAACAGTAACTCCTAGCACATACCTCATTTGAAAATGACCATAATCACATATAAGGCCTAAAGAAGGAACTTACTCATTTTTCTTTTTATCTAACCCAACCAAATGTTTAAACATCTAATTATATAGTCCTTAGGGCGTATAAGTACTCATTAGCTCAAAAAAGCACTCTAAAAACATACTTCCTTTGTAAATGACTAAGAGGCACATAAAGGAAATCCTGCCAATTTCATGATTCCAATGCTTTAGTCCATCAAATTCAAGCTTATCATACAACCATAATCATCATTATGTAATAAAACCCTTTTTACAAATTGATTCATCCTTTTATGCCTCAAAACATAAGACACCACTAGGCGTCATTCACTCAATCCACTCAATTCACAACTTACATATACATATAAACCTTCACAAAGTGTCCAATTATTTTTTGAACATTAAACTCTAATTTTTCACACCATGGTTGAACCTAGTGGGAGGGAATCAAGGGAATTTTTCAAACTTTAAACACATGTTCATGCTTATTTCACATCCTAACTTCATTAACAACACAAATCCATCATAAATTTCAATTTTTCAACTCAATAATATTCCACTAAAAGTGCTCATAATATTCAAAACTTAAATCATGACATTCAAACCATTGGAATGAGAATCTCTTACCTCAAATAACCTCTACAAGGCTCGGAGAACAAGACCCAAGCTTGGTTCCACCCAAAGATCCACTTCTCTCACTAGGATGAATAGTGATCGAATTTTGAGAGAAAAAGAGCTCCTCACACAAGCCTTTTCAGCCTAAGCAAAGTAGTGGGATGGATTCACCATTATCTCTACTTAAATTTTCATGTATAACACTTTGTATTTTGGTGGCTAAATGAGAGGAGAGAGGAAGCAAACCTACCCCTTAACAACCATTGAAGCCTCAGGTGAGACAGAGAAGAGGACGACAGTGGCGCGTAGAAGGAAGAAGAATTTAAAGGATTTCACGATTTGTAAAGTTAAGTTACTTTAACTGGGTAACAACTTATCTATCTACACACCTCCATTTATTACCAAATTTTACCCAATGAATTAGAATATTTTTCCTGTAATATTTCTAACTTTACTTTTGTATTCTGGGTAATTTTTTACACACATTTTTATTTTAAAAATCTCATTGATTGTACTTTTTACCTCAAAAGGAATCTTATTTTATTTAATTAGATCTTTTACTTAATTTAACCAATTTATGTATGATTAAATATTTAATCACGTGCTCTTTCTAATTAAACGAGTTAGGGGTATTATACCTTTTAGGTCAAACAACTCATATATCTCTTATGTATATAAGAGAAAAATATTCTCTACTTTTAACACGATAAAAGATTAACCCTTAACAAAAGGATAAAACCTTTCGAGATTTCGTAACACATTGCATAACCGAAGGCATTTTTCTTCTCATTGTAAGTGTGTAAGATATGATTCTTTTGTCCAAAATAATTAGGGAAATTATGTCGCCTAAGGAGTTGTAAAAACACTTGTTTTCAACAAAAAGTAAAATAAAATATTCTTCTAATACTTTTTACTCTTGCATCGATTAAAACAATTTTAGTTTTATTAAAAACAATTTTTTTTGGTAGATAAAAAGTACTTTTCTTTACTTAAGAGAAAATATAAATCTTCTTTTCCCTTTGTAAAACTAAATTAGTAAGATTTTAGTAAGCTCATCAATCTTCTTATTCAATAAAATGTATTCATTCAATCCTTTTGTTCATTTTCGTTTAATACTCGTGCTAAGAAAATTTCATAAAAGAAAATAGAAGCGATGAAGATCAAACTCGTGACCTTGAGACTTTGATACCTTGTAAAGAATAAACTCAACACAAAAGCTTAAAATGAATTTCTAAACATTCTCTCCCACTTTGTTTATAGTTTGTGTCTGTTTTATGCTTATAAATATTGGGTTTGCTTTTTCTGAAGTTACTGCAGATAAGTTATCTGCAGTAAACCAATACGTCGTCGTTTTGGGACGGAAATCATGGTATTTTTGTAATTTTAATTTATTTCAGGGTTGTAATAGTCTTTATATTTATAATTTTTTAAGATTTCAATATCAAAACGACGTCGTTTTGGGAATAAATGCAGATAATTTATCTGCATTAACTGCATAAACGTTTTTCCCATAAATATTTTTAACAATCTTAATTTTTTTAAGTAATCTGACTTAAAAATATGAAAATATTTTGAGTTTGAGTACAAATATGAAAATATGTCTCCTATCAAACACCAGCTTAGTACAAATAATAAGTAATCTGACTCCTTTAATTAAATATTTTAAGTTTGAGTCATGAGAATAGAAAAAGGAATTTGAAAAAAATGTCTTTTTTAATAAGATTCGATAAATATTCGAACTAAATATAGTCTTAAAAATAAATCGATTGAGAAACTAAAAAAAGTAGCATATCTTTGGAGATCAGTTTAAAAAAAATTGCTAATAGACCAGCACCATATGCATCACTGTTGTAAAATCCGGCCTGACCTGGCCGGGTCCACCCGAAACCCGGCAAATCGGTCATCGGACCGGTTCGGGTCAAGTATCGGTCAGGCATCGACCTGATCAAACTCGGTCCAAAGCCGGACAAAGCCGGCCAAACTCGGTCAAAATCGGTGACCTGGTGACCCAGTCAATTCATGCATTTAAAAAAAAAATAAAAAAATCAAAATTGTTCATCTTGTCAAAAAAAAATGTAGAACTCATTTTAAAAACTTTGAGTAATTTTATTTGCTAGTATACTCTTCTACAATGACCTCAAATTTCAGCTTCCAATACTGAAGCAATTTGCAGAATAATAAATTAAGAAAATGTGACATATGTCATTTCAATGTAGTTGAATTTGAAAAATATGATTTCAATGTCATTGAGAGGTATATTTATGGCGATTATGAGTTACAATTTAAATTGACATAGTAATAACGTGTATTTTTATTTATTCACGTTTCATGTTTTTTAGCTTATTTAGTGAAACTTGTTTAATTCATTTTAAATATGAAAAATATAATTAAATTTATATGTTCATATTTATATATATTTTTATATATCTATATATATCTAGGTCAACGATCCGACCAGTGACCCATCAGTCTGACAAGCGACTTAGTAACCTAGTACCCTAACTGGATCAATATTCGAGTCGGATTTAATAAGACTAGTATGCATGCGTATATGAAACAAAAGTGGAAGTTGGAAATTCAACTTTCAGATTTTTTTTATATCACTTTCAGATTGTTTTAGACTACATATCATTAAGTGCAGAAAAAAAACGTTATTGTTTCTCATCTTAAATTTATTTTCTATACATATAAAAATATATATCACTTATACTATATACTATATTAGAATTATATTTAGAAACTCTTATAAATTATACTATATACTATGGATGATATATATTACTTAAACATATAATACTCATAGTACATAATATATTTTGTAAGTATTTATAAATAATTTTTTATAAATATAACCTACTCTTTTATATATATATATAATAATAATAATAATAATAATAATAATGTTATTTCCTATAATATAACCAACTTCAAATCTATGACTATAATGGGCGGAATGATAACTTTATAAAAAGAGATAATTAACAAGAGATAGTGCCTGATGGGAATTGTGGCGTGCCATTTTATATAAAGGTGGTTTTGCAATCATCACTTGGCCTTACGCTCTGCTTTACTGTTCTTGTCCAAAAAAGATTCTCGTGCACCTACACTGCACTGGCAGCACTGCAGTTTCCCGACTCAACTCTTTCCTTTCATCTCATCTCATCTCATCTTACTGTTCTTGTCTAGATCGCCATGGATTTACTCACACCAAGTGGCTACGATGTATTCTTGAGTTTCAGTGGAGAAAACTCATTCACTTCAACTCTCTGCAACTCTCTTCTAAATGCCGGAGCTACTTATTTTGTGGATGATGATAAGGAGTTTCAAAATCGAGATCAGAATTCAACCTCTCTACCGCCAGCAATCAGAAACTCTGAGAATTATTTCATTGTTTTCTCAAGAAATTATGCAGGTTCACGATTGTGTCTGCAAAAGTTGGAGGTAATAATGGAGCGTCAAAGAACCAAATTAGGGAAGGTCGTGCCAGTGTTCTATGGTGTAGATTCCTCAGAAGTATCTCATCAAAAAGGTGAGTTTGGAGAAGCATTTGATAAACTTTTGAACAGAATTTCCCCGGATGAAGACCAAGTGCTGAGTTGGAGGACGGCGCTTCGTGACGCTAGCGGCATTCCAGGGTTCGTTGTCGAACATTCTAGGTAATTTAACAGTTAGTGCTTCGAAATTCTTCAATCTTCATTGCAATTTTTTTTTTTTGGTAAACAATGTTCATTGCATTTTAATCCTTGTTTAGCTAATTTTTCATTTTTATTAACGGTAAAAGAAATAACTAATTACACTATTTTAACTTATCAGAAAGAGAAATTAACTAATCTTCCACTACTTTTTATTGAGCTGGATCGCAATTATTATTTATGGTAGACTTTCGTCCCTGAGGGACACAAACACCAGTTGCAATTCTCCCTCTTCAATCACTTATGTATAGCTCCTTAGTTGAAAGGAAACTTGGCTTAATGTTGTGCTATATTGGCACATTTAAATTTATCCGATATTCACTCAAATTAATATTTGTCTATCTTTACCCCAAAAAGGAATTTGAAAAATTGTCTTTAAGTAGTGTTACTAGCATTTTTGTATAGGGGTGTTTGGTAACAACTTTTTGGGGAAAATGTTGGGAAAACGGGGATGAGAAATTTTATTCCCATATTTGATGAGCTTTTGTTAAAACAATTCTGGAAAAAAAAAAAAATCCCATAATTTTAATTTCTAACTACTCATTGCTAAAAAATAAACCCATTCCTCCATGATTTTTATTTTTCCCCACATCTCAGATTCTTGTACTAAAATTTGGAGACCAAAATGTCCTGACATAATACATCAGCGTCTTCGTCTAAGCTCAATTGATGTTGTCAGGTTTTTGTATTATGGAACAAAATAATAATAATAATAATAATATAATAAGAGCTTACTGGAAATAAGAAACAGTAGTGTCAAATTTTTTGATATCAATTTTGTCATTTCAAAATTTAAAAATAAGGATAATTTTGTCATTTAGGAAGATTTCTGTCAATATTTTATAAATAACCAAACATAGCATTTATAAAATTAACTTAATATTGACGACAAAATTTTGTCCTACCAAATATCTTTTTGTAACTTACCCTACAAAAAAATTTTCCCTCCATATTTTTCAGAAATCTTTTCTTCTTAGTAAAAAAAATATCTCTCGTACCAAACATCCACTAGTTCCTTATTCGTAACCTTTTTTTTCCCCTTCGAAATGTTCCTAATTTAATACAAACAAACCAATTCGTACGCGCTTGTGGAATAATAATTTTTTTGCTTATATAAATATGTGATATGATAGGGTGACACATGTTATTTCAAATCAAAATATTTACTTTTATTGTTTTGTTGTTTGTTCACTTGTAGGGGTGTAAATAGGTTAGACTTTGGTTTAAATAGATTAGATTTGTATAAAAAACTTTGGATTTAATCTGATCTATTAGCCTGTGTAGGCCCAAATTATAAGTTTAGTCTGACCTATATTTAACAAATAAAAGTTTTGGTCTAGGCCTGTTAGTCTGTTAAATCATATTAAATATTTTATAATTAAAAAAACTAACATAATATTTTTTATTATTCAAAATTATTAAAATAATAATTTTATTTATTTTATTTAAAATAAATAACATGATATACACCGACATGTAAGTTTATAGGTCTGACATGTACAAAAAAAAGCGTATGACCTACTTTTTAAATAAGTTTTTTTAATAACCTAGGCCTGTTTTATTTGACTATTTATAATAAGTCAAGCCTGACCTAATATAGGCTAAGCCGTAGGCCCCTGTAGGCCGGCCTAGCCCATTTACATCCTATTCACTTGAAAAAAAATGATTTTTGCATATATTTATAGGAAAATTATTTTCTCATTTTGCATAAGATAACTATCTCATGTTCTCTAACATAAAAACTTGTGCCACCATTTGTTTTTTTTAAATTGATAGTGGGCACACTACATTATGCGTCTATGGTAAGAGATATCTATCTCCGTCACATGAAAAAATAAAACCCCGTATTTATATTCACATGCTTTTAAATGTAAGAAGCTATTGGAGAATATTTGTTGTCCAATTTCAATGCAACCTTTTATTTTAAAATAGTTGAGATTTGGCACATGCACACATGCACTCGTATTCGTATATGTGCAACTATCGTTTTTTGGCAAAAAAACCTTCTCTTCTTTTAATTCTTTCACATGCATGTTGGAGAATGGTTATACAATGTTTATGTAATTTATGTTGGGTTTAGATATAATGGAAGTGAAAGTGAAGATATGGACAATGTAGTTGAGGTTATTACTCGTCTGCTAGATAAGGCATCCTTGTTTGTTACTGAGCATTCAGCGGGAGTAGAATCTCGTGCAGAAGAAGTGATTCGACTATTGAACAGCAAAAAATCAGAGCATTCTCTACTTCTAGGGATATGGGGGATAGGAGGGATTGGTAAAACAACAGTTGCCAAATACATCTATAAACAAATCGGTCGCAATTTTGATACAAGGAGCTTCATCCCAAAAGTTAGGGCAGTTTGGGAACAAAATAATGGCCAAATTTCTTTACAAGAACGGCCTCTTTCTGATATCTACGAAAAGATAGGTAAAATTGAAGCAGAAACAGTGATATTAAAGGAAAAACTTCGCCAAAAAAAATTACTTCTTGTGCTTGACGATGTGAATAAATTTGACCAATTGAAAGCTTTGTGTGGAAGTCGTGAATGGTTTGGTCCTGGAAGTGTAATAATCATCACAACAAGAGATGAGCATCTACTTCTTCAACTTGGAGTTGACCATGCACATAGAATGAAAGAAATGGACAAAAATGAATCTCTTGAACTTTTTAGTTGGCATGCGTTCAACCAAGCAAGTCCTGCTAAACGTCTTGAGGGCCTTTCTAATGTTATAGTTGAATATTCCAGGGGATTACCGCTAGTTCTTCAAGTCCTTGGGTCCTTTTTGTTTTGTAAAGGGAAAAACGAGTGGAATAGTGCATTGGAAAACTTAGTGTTCTCCATTATAATATTTACTATAACTGTGTTCTCGCGGGAGAACTTAGTGCGCTTGACGGTCCACTGACTGAATTTTTATTTTTTCCATATATATATATTTGAGAAAAGTATTTCTCCAGTCACTGGTGATAAAGTTATCTCCAGTGAGCTCAATATGACGTCGTTTTGGGGTTATAAGATTAAAAAAATTATAATGATAAAAACTAATATAGTTATGCAATATATTAGAATAATAGAATTACAAAAACACTTTGATTTCTGCCTCAAAACGACGTCGTTTTTGGTTCACTGGATATAACTTATCTCCGTTGACAGGAGAAATACTTTATCCTATATATATATAAATATAATATGGGTTCATTTTTTCTACAATCTATGTAGATAACTTATCTACATTGAGCCCAAAATGATGTCGTTTTGAGGCGAAAATCAAGGTATTTTTGTAATTATAATTTATTTCAGAATTATAACAGTATTTTTCGTTATAACTTTTTAATTTTTTAACCCAAAACTATGTCGCTTTGGGAGCGAATGTAGACAACTTATCTACATTCACTGTAGAAACATTAAAGACTATATATATATATATATATATATATATATATATATACATATTGTTATTACCAATTAGTGTTACCACCAATATCACTACCAGTTTGTTTCACGGCTAGATCAATTATGTTGATCTAACGGTTATATTTATTTTCACCTTTGTATGGTTATGATTCCCCATATTTAATGCTTTCATATTAAATATGGGGAATCGTAACCATACAAAGGTGAAAATAAATATAAAATATTAAATATAGAAAGAAGAAAGAAGATTTTTAGAAAGTTAAATTAGAATCGTTATATCAACATAATCGATTAAATAGTGAAACAAATTGGTAGTGACATTGGTAGTAACACTAATTGATAGTAAAAATATCTTCTCTCTCTATATATATATAGATAGGTTATTCTATCTACCATTTTTTCTACCTACTTTTGCCTACCTTTGCTTACCACTCTCCAATATTGTTAGATCAGAATTTCAATTACATTTATTATTTCTCTCTCCTATTGAGATTCTGATCTAACGATGTTGGAGAGTGGTAGATATATATATATATATATATATATATATATATATATATATATATATATAGGGGAGGGATCTTTTGACTCTAGAGTAAGACTTACAACTCTTACTCCTCATCTTAACCGTTGATTTTCGTCCATCTAACGGTTATCTATAACAATTAATTATTTATTTATTTCAAATAAATAGTAACCGTTAGATGGACGAAAATCAACGGTTGAGATGGAGAGTAAGAATTGTAAGTCTTACTCTATAGTCAAAAGATCTCTCCCTATATATATATATATATATGAAAAAATTGATAATAACATTGGTAGTAACACTAATTTGGCCTGCGGGTTGGCTCGATTTTGTCCGAGCTTAATCGAGTCGCGCTAGCTCGGATTAATAACTTATTTTTGCCAACTTAACTCGATTTATTTTTCACGGGTTACGAGCTATCCGGACGGTCAGCTCGTTTTTAACACCCCTAATCGGGATCAATTGCAGAATCTAAAATGGGTTTTATAATTCTCATTCAACATGAGAATTCAAGTTTTCCTACACACCCTTCGATTTCCGTGTTGACATGGGTCCTACATATAATTTTTTCTAACACATGGGTCCCACATGCTTTTTATCTCTACAACATGAGATTTCAATTCTCATTCAACATGAGAATTATAAAACCCATCTAAAATAGGATAAATAACTTAGAAGTGATACGCGAAATGTAATAAATTCCCATTCCTCTTAGTTGCATGATAAATTGCTAGTCTTTAAATTTAATTTCTCTAAGCTTCTCAACTAATTGTAGTACCTTTTTAATCTTATAGAATTTTTTCTAGGATACTACTCATACTCTAAATATAATCTAATTTTTTTTTTTTTTTGTAAATAAATATAATCTAATTTGTTATAACTATGATATCACAACACCCTTAAAATATGTTATATATTAGCGTAAACTTTCTTACGATCCTATTTAAGCTAAATTCCGATTAACACCCTTAAAATAGGCTCGCTGATTGACTAGCTTCTTTTGCCCACCAATTCCATGATTGGGAAGTCCATCTTTTTGTTGAGCCTCCGTTAGGATGCAGAGATCTTTTATGTAGAGATGTTATGGAACAAGACTTTGTAGGATGTAATTGTTTTTGTGTATTTCCCTTATTTCCAAAAAAAAAATAAAAAAATACTAAACAGATTTTTCTATCAATTAATCACTTTAAATTACAACAACTAAATAGAAAGGATTTTTCTTATCGAAAAGAGAAAAGTGTTCACTTCATTTGTTGACTCGCGTCCACTTTCTTTCTCTTCATTGGCTTTGAGGACAAAGAGAATGCGGGAGTATCCCAAGTAAGACATTCTAATGTTGGGAAAGATTCTGTGTGCCCGTAGGGTTGGGTTAGGCGATTGGGCTGGCTAAAACCGTAGGCGATTATCCACTCTCTTGAAGTAATGATTGTTTCATATATTTATACTCACGTGATTTAATATGTAAAATAAAAAAAATAAAAAATTTGAGAGCACTTTGTATCCCATTTCAATGAAACTTCTCTGAAATTAAGTATGTTGCTATCATTTTTTCACTAAAAATTCCTCCTCTTGTTTTGGTATATATGTCCACATGTTGGAGAATGGTCATATAATGCTTACTGCTCTATCTCGGGTTCATATTTTACAGGGATGAAAGTGAAGATATCAGGAATATAGTTGAACGTGTTACTGGTTTGCTAGACGACACGGTTTTGTTTGTTGCTGAACATCCGGTGGGAGTAGAATCTCGAGTGCAAGATGTGATTCAACTATTGAACAACCAACAAACAAAACATCCTCTACTCCTAGGCATGTGGGGGATGGGAGGGGTTGGTAAAACAACCATTGCCAAAGCCATTTATAATGAAATTGGTCGCAATTTTCAGGCTAAGAGCTTCCTCCTAAATGTCAGGGAAGTTTGGGAACAAAATAATGGACAAGTTTCTTTACAACAAAGGCTTCTTTCTGATATCTACAAAACAACAAAATTGAAGATAGATACAACTGAATCAGGAAAAATGGAATTACAAAAGAGACTTAGCCAAAAAAGGATATTTCTTGTGCTTGACGATGTAGATAAATTGGACCAATTGAATGCTTTGTGTGGAGGTCGTGAATGGTTTGGTGGAGGAAGTAGAATAATCATCACAACAAGAGATGAACATCTACTTAGTGTGCTTAGAGTTGACCGCCTATACAGAATGAAAGAAATGAAGAAAAGTGAATCTCTTGAGCTTTTTAGTTGGCATGCGTTCAAGCAAGCAAGTCCAAGGGAAGGTTTTGCTCATCTTTCTAGAGATGTAGTTGAATATTCCGGGGGATTGCCGTTAGCTCTTCAAGTACTTGGGTCCTTTTTGAATTCTAGGGGGATAAGGGACTGGGAGATTGCATTGGAAAAACTCAAAATCATTCCCAATCATGAAATACTGAGGAAGCTCAAAATAAGTTTTGATGGTTTAAGCGATGACAAAGTGAAAGAAATATTCCTTGATATAGCTTTTTTCTTTATTGGGAAGGATCGAGATGATGTAATTGAGATATTAAATGACTGTGGGCTTTTTGCAGAAATTGGAATAAGGGAACTTGCAGAAAAAAGTCTTGTAACTGTTAACATTAAGAACAGGCTCGGAATGCATGATTTGCTACGAGACATGGGAAGAGAAATTGTTCGGGAGAAATCACCAGAGTTGGCCGAGGAGCGCACTAGGTTATGGCTCCAAGAAGACGTGCTTGATGTGTTATCAAAAGATACTGTAAGTGTTGGTGTTTCAAGGCTGCTGTTGATGTCCTATTTTTTAGGAGTTAATTAGTTGTTTTTTAAATTGATTAGTCTTTTGTTTAGGAGTTTGTTTACTGCATTTTACTGTTATTGCTTTGTTAGTTTGTTGCTGATTTTGTGGACCAACAAAATCAGCTGGTTAGTAGCAACCGCATGAGCTCAGTTTTGTATTTAAAAACAAGTTCATTAGTCAGAATAAAATAAGCTGTTGCACAATATTGTTTCTGATGTTTGTTTTTCTCATAAAAGATCAACATTGGTATCAAGAGCCTTCTTGATCTTAAGGGGCTGAGTGACTTGAGAAATTAATGGAGGGAGGATCGAGTGGTTTTTCAGCAATGGCTCCACCAATATTCGATGGAGAAAATTATCAAGCATGGGCAGTGAGAATGCAAGCCTATCTAGAGGGTTGCGATTTTTGGGAAGCTATAGAACAAGATTATGAAGTTGCTCCCCTTCCTGATAATCCAACCATCAATCAGATCAAGTTTCATAAGGAGAGGATAACAAGAAAAGCAAAGGCAAAGTCTTGTTTATATGTTGCTGTCTCACCTGCCATTTTCAGCAGAATTATGGCTTGTGAATCAGCTCAAGCTATTTGGGACTTCCTCAAAGATGAGTATAAAGGAGATGAGAGGATTAGAAGCATGAAGGGGCTGAATCTAATCACACAATTTGAGAGATTGCAGATGAAGGAGTCTGAAACAATTAAGGAGTATTCTGATAAGTTGGTAAATATTGCAAATCAAGCAAGAGCTCTAGGCACTGACCTCTCTGATAATAGGCTAGTGCAAAAGGTTCTTATCTCCTTGCCCGAAAGGTTTGAAGCAACCATTGCATCTTTGGAGAATACCAAGGATTTGTCTCAAATCAAGTTGGCAGAATTGCTAAGTGCTCTGCAAGCACAAGAGCAGAGAAGGTTAATGAGGCTTGAAGGAAGTACAGAAGGAGCTTTGCAGGCTAAAGAACAACATAATGTAAGATGGAAGAAAGGAGATGACAGTAGTGGTTCAGAAGCTGCTGCAGGAGAGAACAATGCAATCAACTCTAAGAACAATTGGGGCGGGCATTCCTCATGTAAGCATTGTGGAAAGCAGAATCACCCACACTTCAGATGTTGGAAGAGGCCAGATGTGAAGTGCAGAAAGTGTCATAGGCTTGGACACATTGAAAGGTTCTGCAAAGAAAAGGGAGATCAGCAGCAAGGTGAGGCACATGTTGCAGACCAGCATGAGGCAAATCAATTATTTGCTGCCTCTTGTTTCTCCTCTAGTGCTCCATATGATAGTTGGCTTGTTGATAGTGGTTGCACAAACCACATGACAAGTGATGAAAAGCTATTTAGAGACCTTGACAAGTCATTGCAGTCAAGAGTGAGAATTGGAAATGGAGAGTATCTAGAAGTGAAAGGTAAAGGGACTGTAGCAATAGAGAGCTATGCTGGAACTAAGCTGGTTTCTGGTGTGATGTACGTGCCTGATATTGATCAGAATTTGCTGAGTGTGGGGCAGTTGGTAGAAAAGGGATTTAAAGTGATATTTGAAGAAGGGAGGTGTTTGATCTTTGACTCAAATGGTCAGGAGCTGTTCAGAATAAAGATGCAACAGAAGAGTTTTTCTCTAAATCCCCTTGAGAAGGAGCAAGCGGCATTCAAGTGTCAGGCTAGTGATTCAGAAATATGGCACAAAAGGTTGGGGCATTTTCATTACAAAGGCTTACTATTCATGCAGAAGAATGAAATGGCAACTGGGTTACCAGATCAGGAGGAGAAGGTTTGTTTGCTGAGAAAAGCTCTCTATGGTTTGAAGCAAGCTCCTAGAGCATGGTACAGCAAGATGGATGAGCACTTGCTGGGTTTGGGTTTCATAAAAAGTCTTAGTGAATCCACTTTATATGTCAAGAAGTTAGGATCTGACTTAGTGGTGGTGTCTCTTTACGTGGATGATATGCTGGTAACAGGGAGTAATAATTCTCAGATTACTGCATTCAAAAGGGAAATGATGAAAACGTTTGAAATGACTGATCTTGGTGAGATGTCATATTTTTTGGGGATGGAGGTTAGACAAACTGAAAATGAAATTTTTATCTATCAAAAGAAGTACTTGAAGGAGATTCTGAAAAGATTCAACATGGAGGAGTGCAAGAGTGTAAGTACTCCAATGGGTCAAAAGGAAAAGTTTCAAAAGAAAGATGAATCGGAATCTGCAGATGAAAGAGTTTATAGGAGTTTAATTGGCTGCCTTATGTATCTCACTGCAACTAGGCTAGACATTATGTTTACCGTAAGTGTCTTGTCCAGGTTTCTTAATTGTCCAAGTGAACTGCATATGGTAGCTGCAAAAAGGGTGTTAAGGTACTCTTTCATATGGAATCAAATTCTGCAGAATTCAGAAGTTTAAGTTGCAAGGGTATTCTGACAGTGACTGGGCTGGATCAGTGGATGATATGAAAAGTACTTCGGGTTATTGTTTTACATTTGGGTCAGCTTGTTTTTCTTGGTGTTCAAAGAAGCAGGAAATAGTGGCCCAATCAACTGCAAAAGCTGAGTTCATTGCAGCTACTGCAGCTGTAAACCAAGCATTATGGTTGAAGAAGCTGATGGATGACCTGCATTTGGAGCAAAAAGAAGGCATAGAAGTATTTGTGGATAATCAAGCTGCTCTAGCTATTTCACAGAATCCAGTATTTCATGGAAGAACAAAGCATTTTAAGATCAAGTATTATTTTTTGAGAGAAGTGCAGAAGGCTGGAGAAGTGAAGCTAATGTACTGCAGTTCAGAAAACCAAATTGCAGATATATTCACCAAGTCATTTCATGTTAGTCGATTTGAATTTCTCAGGGAGAAGCTAGGAGTGTGCAACACTTGATCCAGGAGGAGAATGTTGGTGTTTCAAGGCTGCTGTTGATGTCCTATTTTTTAGGAGTTAATTAGTTGTTTTTTAAATTGATTAGTCTTTTGTTTACTACATTTTACTGTTATTGCTTTGTTAGTTTGTTGCTGATTTTGTGGACCAACAAAATCAGCTGGTTAGTAGCAACCGCATGAGCTCAGTTTTGTATTTAAAAACAAGTTCATTAGTCAGAATAAAATAAGCTGTTGCACAATATTGTTTCTGATGTTTGTTTTTCTCATAAAAGATCAACAGTAAGAACTCATGCCTGCTGGTTTTTGTTTTTAAATCTAATCCAACTTCAAATGATGCAAGATAAACATTGGGAATCAGTTGTTAGCATTCATTTGTTATCTTTATTTAACTCCGTAAGTAAGAAAATTAGCTATATATCTCCAAAAAAATAAAATAAAAAATAGCTTGATTGTGAATCGTTTAGTGCTGTATACTTACTTCCTAATGAGCTTAAAACCTCATAATTGCATTCAGTTACGCTCCTAGATTTTTTATAGCCATTTACTTCTGCTATGCGTTTTATTTTTCTGTTCATTTTATTTTACAGGGAACGATAGCTGTTAAGGGACTGACTTTGATGTTGCCAAGGATGGATACAACAACTGATTTGAAAACCAAAGCATTTGAGAAGATGAAGAGACTGAGATTGCTTCAACTTGCTGGCATACAACTTGATGGTGATTATAAATATCTTTCACAAGATCTTAGATGGCTTTGCTGGGATGGATTTCCTTCAGAATATACACCTGCAGACTTTCATCAAGGAAGTTTAGTTGCCATTGAGTTAAAGTATTCCAATATGCAACAAGTGTGGACGAAGTCCAAGGTATAATAAGTTCTATTTTTTTTTCTCCCTTTTTGTTTAGCTAGTTTCAATACTAATAATATAGAGTAAAGACTATTTTGGGTTTCTAACCAAAAAAAAAAAAAAACATAGTTCCCACTTCCTTCCTTTACAAAAAGAAGAAGAAGTAAACTTAAATGACTAATATGAATATTTTTTTTGTAAGGGACAAAAATGGAGATTGTGTTTTTTTGTTGAGGACCCAAAGGGGCTTTACTCAATAATATATTTGGATGCAATAAACTTAAATTTAGTGTCTCAAACAGTACTTCAACTTAATTATAGTGTGCTTTTATTTTATTTTTAAATTTTTTTGGTATTCAATTATAGTGTGCTTTTAGAATGTGGATATGTGATGATTTTAGAATTTGATAAGCATGCATGTCGAAAACTGGGGTCAATGTGAAAAATATAATGTTTTCACATTTTTCTTCCTTTTAAAATATCTGTCATTTAATGCAATTATACAGGAATTTTAAAAAAAAACTAAATAACTTCATTTATAGAAATATATAACTGCATATGACTAATTTATTTTTTATTGAAATACTCAATGTATTATCATATCATTAATTTTCTTTCATATTCCAATTAGTTAAAATTTGAAAAGACAAGATAGAGTTGGAAGAAATAATTAATGGCTTATTGTTTTTTAAAATGACATTTTGGGGGAATTGTTGCTAGCTCTTCGAATACTTGGATTAGTTTGGAATAAAAGTGTTGTTATGTTGATTTTGTGATGTGTTATAAAATGACATATACTAAAGTTGATATAAAATTCTTTCTCTAAAATGACTCATTTCAAAACAAATCGAATGCTAAGCATAAAGAATTATTCAATGAATTTTATATATAAAAGAAATAGTTCACTGTATACAAGTACTAAATTTCACACTTTTAATTTTGGTTTCTTATAGTCTTTTGAGAATATTAAGCAATGTTATGATTGATAATATAATCGACTCGGTCGGGATACTGAGTTAATGAGTTACCGGTTTAGTGGTAAGTGTTGTAGGTCATGATTTATGAGGCCTAAGTTTGAATCTCATTAATGGTATTTTTTAAGCATTATATCAAAAATTCCACAAAACCAATTTTTTTAAAAAAAATTGGTGCCATTTTAATATCAATTGAAACTAATTCAAAACCGGTTCATCGATTTTATACCAAGTCAAATGCATGACCGAACCAATACCTGAACCAGACCAGTTGGAGATTCGATTTACTAGCAACCGATTAAATTGGTTGGGTCGGGCTAATTTTTATAACACTAATTTTAAGTGCTTCTTGTAAAAGTTTACATTTTCTTATACTTAGCATTAAGTTTAAAATTTTTCTTAAAAAAAATGAAATTTTAAAATTAACATTTTTACTTTTTTTTTTTTTTTGGAGAAAAGGAAATATAACAAACAAAACAAGCGTGAGAAAGACCTGGAAGTTACACACGAATCATCCTAGGCGTAGTGATGCCTTGGATATCTTTTTGAACTAAAGGTAAGCACTGGGAGGGCACACTATCGACAGTATGCAAGAGCCAATCATGAGGGGAAGCCATGGCAGCGAGAGTCAGCTACAGTGTTTCCTTCCCTATAGATGTGGGAGATCTTGATAGACCAGTCTTTTGCCATAAAAGATTGGATCCTACCAACTAAGGAGGAGAGGTTGTGGTTTTTAGGACACCCCTCATTGATCAGGTGGATAGCAGTGGAGGAGTCACCTTCAAGCCAGACCTTGTGAAAGCCCCTGCTCCACGCTTGCTGAATGCCCAAAAGCATGCCCCAAAGTTCGGCCATGAGAGAATTTCCCACACCAAGGGACTTGTAAAAACCAACCAGCCACCTGCCTGAGCTGTCTCTGAAGACACCACCACAAGAGGCATGCAAGCCAGACAAAAAGGAAGATCCATCAGTGTTAAGCTTCACCCATCCCTCAGGAGGGGGGACCAAAAAATGAAGACCTCCATCTTGCGAGATTGTCCCACACCCATTTGGCCGAGGATGGACTGGGACGAGAGAAAGTTAGAAGAAAGGCTCTTAGCACAAAGCACCAGGCTGTTAGGGTTGGAGGAAGTGGCATTAAACACAAGGTCATTTCTGTCCTTCCAAACTAACCAGCAGACAATGACAAACATTGTCCTCCACGTTTCCTCCTTCCTAGGGTTGCTGTTAGGGTTAAGATTATGAAGCAGCCAATCATGAAACTGCCCAGACAGGAAAGAACTGAGGAGGTCTGAGGATATGAGGCAATCCCAAACCTTAATCACCCAAGGGAAACCTCTAAAAATATGGTTGCTATCTTCGAGAGGGAAGTTGCACCGCGAACAGGAAGTGGAGCTACTCATGTGCCTTCTCGTACGTTCCATGTTAGTTAGGAGGTTATTCCCAAGTAATAGCCAGATGAATGACTGGATCCTATGAGGGCCCTTCCAAGCCCACAGGGTATTCCACCAAGAGAGGGGAGTATCCTCAGCATGATTGATGAGCGTGTAAGCTGAGCCAATCGAGAAGTTTCCATCTTTGGAAGGATCCCACGAAACACCATTAGCACCCTCTCCTGGGTCAAGGGGAATCAAGCCTGCAATTAAATTTGAGACATGTTGGGGAATTAAGTGTTGAGAGAGATGACAGTTCCACACTCCCTCACCGGAACTAGCGTCTGCTACCGTCCAATGAAGCAGATTCTCAGGAATTGGCTCCAAAGCCACTGACAGTAAGTTGTCCACCTGAGGGATCCATTTGTACATCCAAAATTTTGTATTACAACCATTCCCTAAAATGATTTTGGATCCTCTTCTAACATTAGGCCAAGTCTTCATGATGCCTTTCCAGAGATTAGAGGCATCTGTAATTCTGGTAAGACTAGGAATCAGGTCATCTCCCACCTTATATTTGGCCCTGAGGACTTTGCACCATAGGGCATCTTTGTCAACCATCAGCCTATGGCTAGTCTTCATGATCATAGCGTTGTTGACCAATCTGGAGCATTTGAAGCTGAGCCCACCAGCTAGCTTAGGGGAGCAAACCTTCTCTCAGTTAACCAGGTGGACCTTCCTAAGAGTATCAGAAGATCCCCAGATAAAGTTCCTAACATACTTGTCGATATCGTCGCAGATGGAGAAGGGGAGAACAAATGAGTGCATAGAATAGGATGGGAGAGCATTCAGGACAACTTGTTAAAGTATACACCTGTTAAATTTTGTGCTAAAACTTCGAGTAAGAGATAAGGATCGCACACTTGATATATGATCAGAAAAAATCCAATATCAAGTCACAAATCGTGTAATCTAATAGTTTGAACTCCAAGGTCGAAACTTCAATCTTTGGAGAAGCAATCTTCCGAAGTTTTTTTACCTTCACCACATCTAAGTCGAATTGCAAAAACAATAAATATATATATACTCCCAAGCCCCGACTATAGCGGACAAGAGTGAGGCCAATTATTATACCCAGATTTATTTTTTTATATTAGAAAGAGATCATTTTCCGGATTTGAATCCAAAACTTTTCAATTAGAAAGAAGTATATATATATAGGTCAGGATCATTTTACACCAGTGTAAGTTACACTCTTAGTCTTATCCGTTAATTCCACTTATATCTAAGGGCTCAAATTTTTTAGTAATGTGAGCCATTGGATATAAGTGGATCAATGGTCAAGATTGAGTATAAGACTTCTAACTCTTACACCGGTGTAAGAATATCCTGCCTCTATATAGGTCAGGATCATTTTACACCAGTGTAAGTTACACTCTTAATCGTATCCGTTAATCTCACTTATATATAAGGGCTCAAATTTTTTAGTAATGTGAGCCATTGGATATAAGTGGATCAATGGTCAAGATTGAGTGTAAGACTTCTAACTCTTACACCGGTGTAAGAATATCCTCCCTCTATATAGGTCAGGATCATTTTACACCAATGTGAGTTACACTCTTAATCTTATCCGTTAATCCCACTTATATCTAAAGGCTCAAATTTTTTAGTAATGTGAGCCATTGGATATAAGTGGATCAATGGTCAAGATTGAGTGTAAGACTTCTAACTCTTACACCGGTGTAAGAATATCCTGCCTCTATATAGGTCAGGATCATTTTACACCAGTGTAAGTTACACTCTTAATCTTATCCGTTAATCCCATTTATATCTAAAGGCTCAAATTTTTTAGTAATGTGAGCCATTGGATATAAGTGGATCAATGGTCAAGATTGAGTGTAAGACTTCTAACTCTTACACTGGTGTAAGAATATCCTGCCTCTATATAGGTCAGGATCATTTTACATCAGTGTAAGTTACACTCTTAATCTTATCCGTTAATCCCACTTATATCTAAGGGCTCAAATTTTTTAGTAATGTGAGCCATTGGATATAAGTGGATCAATGGTCAAGATTGAGTGTAAGACTTCTAACTCTTACACCAGTGTAAGAATATCCTGCCTCTATATAGGTCAGAATCATTTTACACCAGTGTAAGTTACACTCTTAATCTTATCCGTTAATCCCACTTATATCTAAGGGCTCAAATTTTTTAGTAATGTGAGCCATTGGATATAAGTGGATCAATGGTCAAGATTGAGTGTAAGACTTCTAACTCTTACACCGGTGTAAGAATATCTTGCCTCTATATAGGTCAGGATCATTTTATACCAGTGTAAGTTACACTTTTAATCTTATCCGTTAATACCACTTATATCTAAGGGCTCAAATTTTTTAGTAATGTGAGCCATTGAATATAAGTGGATCAATGGTCAAGATTGAGTGTAAGACTTCTAACTCTTACACCGGTGTAAGAATATCCTGCCTTTTATATATATATATATATATATATATATATATATATATATATATATATATATATGGTTTTAAACTATTTGGAGAAGACTCATCAATGTCTTTTAATAATTTCACTATTGCATTCTATTTATTTCCATATATTTTTCTAGGCTTCTTCTCTGATATGTCTTCAAATTTTCTTTCCTTACAGATGCTGACGAAGCTGAAAATTCTCAATCTCAGTCATTCTCATAACTTGAGACAAACCCCAGACTTTTCGAAGATACCAAATCTGAAGAAGTTAATACTCAAAGATTGTCCACGTTTGTCTTCGGTTTCTGATACTATAGAACATCTCAAAGAAATTCTTCTGATAAATTTGAAAGACTGTACAGGCCTTAGTACACTTCCAAGAAGCATCTATAAGTTGAAGACGTTAAAAATTCTCATTATATCTGGATGTTCAAAAATTGACAAGTTGGAAGAGGACTTAGAACAGATGGAAAACTTAACCACCCTGATTGCAGATAATACTGATATAAATGAAGTGCCCTTTTCAATTGTGAGATCAAAAAGCATTGCATTTATTTCATTGTGTGGCTATAGAGGATCCTCACGTGATGTGTTTCCATCTCTTATATGGTCTTGGATGTCTCCAACAAACAGTGTCTTATCCCAAGTTCAAACATATGTGGGCATGTCATCTCTAGCTTTCTTAGATGAACAAAATAGTAGATTCCATGGTCAATCATATACTCTTAAAGACCTTCAGAAGCTTCAACGTCTTTGCGTGGAGTGTGACTCAAAAGTTCAACTACATGAAACTGTAGAAAGAATTTTGGATACTTTAAATACCACAAATTATGAGGAGTTGGAAGCAATGCCAAGCACATCACATGTATCAAATATCAAGACTTCAGCATTAATTGATTGTCACAGTCAAGCTCGCATTTCAGGATCAGAAAATTCCTTGACATCTCTTTTAATTCAAATGGGAATGAACTGCCATGTCACCAATATTCTTAGAGAAAACATTTTACAGGTTCACTCTCTTACTTGCAGAATATATATATAAATTAAATAAGTTAATTTAATTTTTTGTACCTATATTCATTGTCCAGAAAATGTCTACCGTCGGGCCTGGTTTCCTCCCTAGTGACAATTATCCTGATTGGTTAGCCTTCAGTGGTGATGGTTCTTCTGTAATTTTGGATGTCCCTCAAGTGCTGGAACGTAACTTGAAGACAATCATGTGCATTGTCTATTTTTCTTCCCCAGAGAACATGACACCAGAAGTCCTTAAAAATATGTTGGTGATAAATTACACAAAGAACACCATTCAGCTCTACAAGAGAGACGCATTAACCCCCTTTGAAGACGAGGAGTGGCAGAGAGTAGTATCAAATATAGAACCTGGTAACAAAGTCAATGTTGTTCTTGTTTTTGAGAACAGATTCATTGTGAATAAGACAACAGTTTTTCTCATATATGATGAACTGATTGACGAAAAAGGGGAGCACTGCCATACACCAGATAGAAATGCTATTGTTTCAGGTGGTGATGAAAATGTAAGTCGTAATAGTCTAAATATATACATTTTTCTATGGGAAAGTTTGTTTTTCTCTTTTCCTTTTCCTTTTTCTGTATTTTGTGTTGTGATAGAAGCAGGATTTAAGAATTGAACGACCATCTCTGAACCAGTTGAGTCAGTATGTAGCTTCATTACCTCCTAAAACCTCTATTCCTCTGTTTTCATAGTTTCTGTGCACCATAGGAGGACATTAATATTCTTTGAACTTCTACACTTGTAGAATGCAATTGAATTAGTGAACCACACTTGATATATTCTGCATATGGACATATTTATAATTCTCAGTTTTAAATAAGATGCACCTAGACACCTACTTTATATATTATTTAAAGTCACACTCTTTGCACATTTAAATATGAATGATTTTTAATTTATCTACAAACGTTAGAATATGCCAAATTACATAATTATTAGTGTTGTGAATCTAAATAAAGCCTGACTTGAGAAAACTATATATTTTAGCATAATTTTCAGAATGTTTTTTGAGCTGAAACCATTGTTTGCTTGTTGTAGCACATAAGCAAGGAGAATTCAGATCCCCCCACTCAAGCTGAAATGCTTTTTGGAAATCTACAAAGGAAGAAGGGAAAGCAGTTAGACCAAGAAACAAATAATGCAATTGTAAGTTTATCTTTATAATTTATGAATTGAAATATAATAACCTCTTCCTAACACTGCTTTAAAAATGTTGGACCAAACTTCATGACTAGATTGAAAATTCGGGTCAGCCTTCCACTGAAGCTTTTCCTGCCGTGTCTGGGAAAGAAAAGCCAGGAGAAGTGTGCTGCTATGAAAGAACTACCACACCTACTCTGTTGAAAATAAATGAAGAAATGACGGAAATGGAGAAAATAAATGCTAATGAGGCCAAGCATTTAAATGAAAAGATTGAAGTGATAGAGGCAAAACATAATGAAATGGCAATAGTGGAGAAAAAGTTTCAACTTCAAAGGACTATGCTAAATCAAAAAAACTTAGGCCAAGATGTGGAGGCCTTGGCAGATTTGTTATCAACTACAGGTGATGCTACCGGTGTTCCATACAATCAAGAGGTAAAATGATTTTCATTTTTTATTTTCTATCTTTCACTGCGATGTTGCTATATTGATTGTGACTACTGAATGGAGTTAAAACAATTATATACTAGATAGTCAAGTGATTACTTTATGACAACTTACCGCACTTTTTAACTTCCCTTTATAGTCAATGGCTATTCTAACAATTTTTATGTCAACGTGGCGTAGTTAATAGATTTCTCTTTTGTTATTATGTTATCTCAAGGATATATTTGATAATTTCAATTCATTTATAGACTTCATTGGATGTTAGAAACATGCGACCTTCAATGATTTTGATTAAAATTGTAGTCATTGATTTTGCTATATGGCTTTTAATATAATATTGCATTTAAATAAAAAATGGGGTCATTGATTTCGATTTCCTGCTTGACTTTCAATGCAATAATTTGGTGTGTCAGTTTAAATAATTTAGTGACTAAGAAATGTTAACAGTAATGAACTTAATTTAAAAGGGTAATGCATTTTTACAGTAGTTGCGAGGGATGACTTCCAATTCTATAATGCATGATTATGGGATGGTATGGCTCTGTTTGATTACAGTTTTTAAAAATAGTTTTTTAGTTTTCAGAATAAAACAACAAAAAAACTCGTTTGATAAGGTCTGTTTTGTAAATAAAGTTTTAAAAACTGTAACTATTTTTTTGTTTTTAGAATCAAATTTAGAGAACATGTCACAGTTGTTTTTATTTTCTGTTTTGGTTTTTAACTTTCAAAACAAAAAAAACATAGAAAATAACTGTTTTTATAATTATTCTACAAAACAGTTTTAAAAACAAAAAAATCAAGACACAATCAAAGAGGCCCTGCAACTCCATGATATTCTTATTTTATTGTGCCCTAACATTGCTATGAGATATTGTGAACATTTTTTTCAAGTCAGTTTACCAATAGATTTGAGTTTCCTATTTACATTCAATGTTTGTTCATGATTGAAGGAAACTAATGTTGATAAAAAAGAGTGAAAGATTTGGTCAACAATTAAGCCTTACATATATATTATGATAGACGAGCATCAAAGGAAATATGAGTAAAAGGGATTTTTTTCACTCTAGAATATGAAATTCAATGAAAGATAGACTGAATTTAATAATTAATTGGTCTTTTAGCATTAAGCAAATAAAGCAAAAGTTCAATAAATTGCGATATAAGAATCACGAGTTCTCTTTACTCTTGCAATACTTTGAATTTGGTTCGGATGTATAAACCAGCACCATTACTGCTGGTGAAGAAATTTGGCAATCTTATATTCCGGTACATTTAAGATTTTATTTGTAGGGTTATGATTTTATTTAATTGTCAATATTTTTAAGTATCATTTGACTATTTTCTTGAATGATTTTAGGCACATTCAGAGCCTAGGGTTCATGCTGAGATGTATAAGGCTAAAAGTATTGAGGAGACTTCAAATGCATTGCCCAATTATTCTATGGCTAAGTGTATGAATGCTCTTAATGAGATTGAAGACGTTTCAGATGAGATCTATGTGAAAGCTTCAGAAAAATTTATGAATCCTGATCGGAGGGAAATGTTTCTTACGATGCCGATGAATAGGAGAAAGGCATGGCTAGATAGACTTCAATGAGAAATTGTGCAGGTAGATGTTGAATTAATGATGAACTTTACTTTAGTAGTAGGTTTATTGTCTTTATGGTTATTATTTTTCAGAGTTTATGATGTCCATTTGTACATGTGCTTTTTATTATATCATCAAATTTTAACTTATCATTATTATATAAAAATATAATGCATTATCAAGTATTTGTGGAGGACCTTGTTTGGACTTGAAGCAAGGTTAGGTGAAAGCTACAAGTAAGCTTTCGGTCCTTGGGGTTAATCTCCTGTTTGCTCCACCAGACTCCGAGGATATGGTATGTTGAAAATGAATTGTTATATGTTGCATGTATATGTATGTATGTTTGTGTGCCACACAAGATGGTGTTTCTTTATGTGAGGCATAAGACGGCGTTTCCTTATACATAGTATGAGACAGTGTTTTCTCATACAGTATGTTGCCAGACAGTGTTTCCTTACGTAATATACTTGTTATACTTTCTGGCCAGTAAGATTTATTTATTGCATAGATTCGTTGATATACATATTTTTATGCATATATACTTTTTATACTATGATATTATGCCTGAAATGAACCTAGGGGTGGAGGAGCCCTCCAAGAACCCCTAGTTTGCTGAAATTATCATCTCACCCCATGTTATGGGGATTACCATTTCAGGTACAGTAGCTGATGGTGCTGAGGCATCGCGCGACAAGAGGCCGGAGGAGAGATATTATCTAACCTGATAGTCATGTTTTGATTGACATTTTTTTGTACATGACATGATGTTTTTCTTTTGAGATGTAAATATCATGTATTCTATTGATGTGCATAGAAGATGTCTATGTCATGTTGATAGTGTATCATCTATTTTGTTAGTTATGTCTGCATATGTCTAGGTTATTTATTTAATTACATCTTTTTTGGTTGATTGATTTAAACATGTAAGTAGCTCTATGGACATTATTTTGAGATCTGTTATGTATGGGATAGCCTATGCCATGAATGGCTTGGTAATACGATTTATGCGTGAATTATATTAAACTGTCAATCAGGTTGAAATTATCATGGTAGAAATTATCCCCAGTAGTCCGAAATACAGACAAAATGCTTCCCGTTTTATTATGACCAAAGAAAGCGATGAAAATTGTAATACATGAAAAAAAAAGAAAAAGTTAACTAGTTAGCTTTCGTATATAATTTATAATGTATGCTGCGTTTATTATCATATAAATATTAATTAACCGACTGCAAATGGTGCGTTACACATTAACCTCCTTTGAAGATGAGGACTAGCACTAAGTAGTATCAAATATAGAACCTGGTAAGAAAGTGAGGGTTGTTGTTTTTGGGAATGAATTCATTGTGAAGAAGACATCAGTTTATCTCATATATGAAGAACCAATTGAGAAAACAACGGAGCACTGCCATTGTAACACCCCGTTCTAAAACCGGTTTGTTAACATCGCATTATGATATTAAGCGCAGTTACAATCACATGGGTTCAATTAAAATCCGGATAAATTTTTCATTTTAAAACATGCCGAATTTATAATACCCAATTTCGTGATCATAACTGTATCACCTTGCGGAATCAGATAAATTAAGCTTAACATCATGTTCTTATTCCATTTTTAAACCATTAATTTACTTCCTATTTATTTTATAACTTCAACTATATTGTAGATCTCTACATTAGCTACGAGTGGCTTCAAACCGCGCTCAAATCGGAGCACCGTAGCCCAAGTTAGGACAATTTGAAACAACACAAGAGAGTGTTGGTCACAGGCCCCGCGCGCTTCAGCGCGCTACCGGGCGCTCAAGCGCGCGCTATCGGGCGCTAAAGCCTCCACCTGGGCGCTTAAGCGCACGGAGGCAGGAAGCATCAGGTATTTCAGTGTGAATGGGCGCTTAAGCGCGCATCAGGGCGCTCAAGCGCGCTATCCTGGGCGCTTAAGCTCCCATTGGGACGTTTTAGCACGCAGAGACAGAAGCATCTCCTCCCCCAGTGGCTAAGGGCGCTTAAGCGCGGACCAGGGCGCTCAAGCGCGCAACCCTGGGCGCTAAAACGCGAGGGGACAGTAAGCATCCCATCTTTCTGCAGCAGAGGACGCTTAAGCGCGAGCCAGGGCGCTCCAGCGCGCAATCCTGGGCGCTTAAGCCCCCACTTGGGCGCTCCAGCGCGAGGAGGCCGAATGCATTGGCACTCACAGGGGCAGCAGGGCGCTTGAGCGCGCTCCTGGGCGCTGAAGCGCGCTGCCAGGGAATTCCAATTCCCACATTTTTCAAGTCCGAGTCTAGGGGAAGATGCATCCCCATTCCAAACCCCAATTGTCCATGCCCCAAAACTAAATCCTAGCACTCATCCAACCTCTCCTTATGAGATTTAGCTAGAATTTGGGCAGCATAACCTTTGTTTACTCAACGTTTCCCAAGTTAAACCAAAGGTACCTAATTGATTCTCAGCCCAACCAATTGAATAACTCAATACATAACAAGCATGCATATATTGAATTTCAAGTAGGCATCATTTACAGTACATATCCATTACAAATCATGGAACTTAGCTTACAAAACACTGCGATCATTCCCTTGGCTCCCATCAACAAAAGAGATGACCAAAGGCATGAGCATAGGCTAAGTCCATTCCAATATACAAATCATAAATCTAGCATTGCCTATTCATTACAATTCTATACATGTGAGCTACAAAACAACATGTACAATCTCAAAAGAAATGCCACATTTCATGCATAATCCAGATATGGCCACTTGCCACCAGAGGCTCCTGCAACATCCTTACCTGAAAGGGGGTCCCCACAACACGGGGTGAGATATACGAATATATTCAGTAAACCAGGGGTCCTTGGAGCATCTTTCCACCCCACAGTTCCATATCAGTGTAATAGCAATAACAATAATAATGCAGTAAATACATATCTATGCAAAGTGCAATACATCTCCAGGAGAAATCCCTCGAGCTCTTAAGTTGTCCTAAGGAAACTCAGATGCAAATTGTAACACCCCGTTCTAGAACCGGTTTGTTAACATCGCATTATGATATTAAGCGCAGTTACAATCACATGGGTTCAATTAAAATCCGGATAAATTTTTCATTTTAAAACGTACCGAACGTATAATACCCATTTTCGTGATCATAACCATATTACTTTGCGGAATCAGATAAACCAAGCTTAACATCATGTTCTTATTCCATTTTTAAACCATTAATTTACTTCTTATTTATTTCCCAACTTCTGCTATATTGTAGATTTCTTCGTTAGCTACGCGTGGTTTCAAACCGCTCCTCATTTGGAGCTCTGTAGCTCAAGTTATGACAATTTTACTAACTCAGGTGTATTCTGAAAAACTACGCGGGCAGGGCGCTTAAGCGCGCTCCAAGGCGCTTAAGCGCCCACAGACAGAGGGAATTTACATTTTTTAGCCACCAAGGGCGCTTAAGCTCGCTCCATGGCGCTTAAGCGCGCTACCCGGGCGCTTAAGCCCCCATTTTGGGCGCTAAAGCCCCAGGCGGCAGAAAGCTTTTGGTCTTCACAGGTGCATCAGGGCGCTTAAGCCCCCTCATGGGCGCTTAAGCCCCCTGAGCAGGCTTAAGCCTCCATTTGCAGGCTTAAGCCCCCTCTTCTGGGCAATTTCCTATACTCATATTTTTCATGTATCTTTCTTGGGGAATCAATCTTACACATTTTACAACCTATTTAACAAGCTTGCGATATCCTTATATCATTGCTTAACTCTCATCCTCTCATCATTGATTTAACAGAAATTGGGCAACATAACCTTTGTTTTCTCAACGTTTCCCAACTTAGCACAAGGTACCTAATTGACTTTCCAGCTCAACATATCCAATACATAAAAATACATTCATGCATTTAACTTACAGTAAGCATCATACACAAATATCTTCATTACTTACAATATTACATCATGTCTTAACTACAAATCTCATATACATGCCAAAGGACTTAGCTACAAAATGAACATGATCAAAGCAAGTAACCATGTATCAGATACCCATTACTACTACAATGATCATGCACTAAGTCCTCCAAAATACATCATGTGGCATCAAAATATACATATAGCAATGCTAAATGGCATGCAACTCAACATGTCCAGTTATCAGGTACAGTCTACTCACGCTTCTTGCCTCGATCAACCTCACCTCTATCAGTACCTGAAATGATGCCCCACAACACGGGGTGAGATATACGAATATATCACAGTAAACCAGAGGTCCTTGGAGATCACTCCACCCTAAGGTTCACTTTGATGTACACATAATCATAATAGCTTAACACATTCTTATCCACAAGCATCACATGGACTTCCAAGAGAGATCCACTATGGGCTGTTTCTCTTAGGCTCTTACCACATGGAGATCCACATAGGGCTGTTTCCAAGGGAAGTCCTTTCCTCAATCTATTCCAAGAGAGATCCTCAAAGGGCTGTTTCTCTTAGGCTCTTACCACATGGAGATCCACCTAGGGCTGTTTCCAAGGGAAGTCCTTTCCTCAATCTAGGAACCTCCAAGAGGGATCCACATAGGGCTGTTCCTCTTAGGCTCTAACCACATGGAGATCCACATAGGGCTGTTTCCAAGGGAAGTCCTTTCCTCAATCTAGGAACCTCCAAGAGGGATCCACATAGGGCTGTTCCTCTTAGGCTCTAACCACATGGAGATCCACCTAGGGCTGTTTCCAAGGGAAGTCCTTTCCTCAATCTAGGAACCTCCAAGGGGATCCACATAGTTGTTCCTCTTAGGCTCTAACCACATGGAGATCCACATAGGGCTGTTTCCAAGGGAAGTTCCTACCAATCATCCTCATCATAATACTATCACTCATAACCTCAATCACAATCCTCAACCATTACCTCATTCATTATTGCTACTTCTATAATCATTCCTCAATTACTCTTAAATAATCAAACATCAACCAATAATCATCAATCAATCATAACATGTATCAATGCATGAATCAATGCATGAGCATACAATTACTATCATAATTACATATCACATCTCATAAACCATTTCTCCTCAACGGAGTATGGTGGAACACTCAATGGGATCAACCACAAGGTCCAAAGGTTTACCTTGCTTTTGAGCTTTCCTCAATGGCACACAACCCCAAGGGTTGGTCACTCCACTTGGTCATCTTGCCTTAATCCTATCAACACAAGGAATACAATCAAACAATGCTAACAATGCAAGGAAATCCATAGTTCCAAGCCTAGATTTATCCAAACATCAAAGCATACTAAAATAACACTATAAACTCATTTCTACCGATTAAATGTCATTCCTAGCATTTTTCACAACATACTCTAAGCCTCATTCTTCCTTGAACATAGCCAATCTACTCAACATTTCATAAAAACCCTAAAACACTATTCATTAAACCCTAACCATGAAATTTTCCAAGAAAACAAGGTTCAAGGGTTAGAATCTTACCACCAATGGTCACACAACCAAGGATTGATGGCTCCTCAAGCTCCAATGGAGGTAGAAACTCCCAAGACACCACACTTTCACAAAATGGGCGACTTTTGAGGGATGATATTTCTCTCTACCAAGACTCCCACTCAAAACAAAGCTAGGATTATGAAAGAGGGGAAGAATCTAAGTGGTTTAGGCTTTGGAATCATCCAATTTGGTTGAGGGATGATGGTTCTTTGGATTTCTCCCTTTCTCCCTTTCTCTCTTCCTTCTCTCTTCTTTCCTCTCTTCTTTCCCTTCTTTTTTTCTTCTCTGGAGCACGACGGGAAAATGGGGGGAATGGGGCTTCTGTTTGTGTTTTTAAGTCACTTACTAGTTAAGTGACTTATGTGGGTATTGGTTCATCTATCTATTCAACTCCATTAGTTACCAAACTTTACCCAAAAGTCTGGAATATTATTCTAGGAAAATTTCCACTTTTATTTTTATATTTTGGGCACTTTCACCAGTACCCATTTATACCCCTTAATTTTCACTGAGTACACTTTTTAACTCCAAGTGACCCAGATTCATTAATTAAGCCTTATACTTAATTTTACTCACTAAAACATGCTTAATTATTTAATTAAAATTAATCAATTAAATGCTTATGTTTGGGGTATTATACAAATAGTCCTACTGGCCAGCTAACTACCAAGTATGATTTACGCATCGTCATGCAACATACCAACATAGGAAAACACCATCCTATGCCACACCAAATGCATACACATACGTATAACAAAGCATTACACTATTTTATTGCATTTATATACACAATCACAACCTCTACCCTTTCAGGGCTTGGTAGAACAGTCAAGGGAATTACACCCAAGGTCCGAAGGCTTACCTCAATGCTTCAGTCGACCTTTGTTCTTCACCAACAGTTTCAACAATCAACTTTTACAAACATACACCTATACAAGGGTAATGCAATTAACATATTGCATTCAAGGATAACTCATCATCATCAATCTAAGCTATCCTATTCATACCACAACACAAGAATGAACTTACCTATTTCAAGGACTAATCCATCTCCATTGCTTGCTCCAAAGGTTGGTCAATTAAGGTTGATCCAATTGCCTCAATCCTAGACAACACAAGGATACAATCAAAGACCAACCAAACAATGGTTCAACAATGCAGAAAACTCATAACCAAGTGTCATATTCTTGCAATTTTCCAAATATAAGCATTTAGCCATCTAAGCTCATTTTCACCGATTAAATGACATTCCTAGCATTTTCCATAACATGCTCTGCTCTTCTCCCTCTCTTCTTTTCTCCTCCTTTCTGTTGCAGTCGACGGGCAATGGGGGGGAAAATGGGGATTCTTTTGGCTTTTAGTCACTTAACATAGGTTAAATGGCTTTAAGCGGGTATTGGTTCATCTATCTATTCAACTCCAATAATTACCAAACTTTACCCAAAAGTCTGGAATATTATTCTAGGAATATTGCTATTTTTATTTTTTTTTTATTTTGGGCACTTTCACCAGTACCCATTTATACCCCTTAATTTTCACTGAATACACTTTTTAACTCCAAAGTGACTCAGATTCATTTAATTAAGCCTTATACTTAATTTCACTCAGTAAAACATGCTTAATTAATTAATTACACTTGATTTACTAATTAATTAAGATGAGCTATTATAGCCATGCACCTGATAAGAATGCCATTGTTTCCTCTACCAGATCTCTCCTCAGGTGGAGTCGACGGATGACTTTGAACAAAAACAGAAAAGAAGAAAATTCGAGTAAAGATAAAAAAACTGTGAAAGAATGGCAGGGTCAGAATTAATTCTTATGGTGCCTGTAAAGTTTAAATTGGTGGTGCTGATTGTTTTATGCGAAGATTGGTGGCCACTATTGCTCAGGTTGTTGAAGATTTGGGTGCTTGGGAAGGTCAAGTTGCTTATGTGATCTTGACATCAGAAGAGTCGAACTTGAGCTTGATTCTGAAGCCCTGATCTAAATGCTTTAAGGGGAAAAAGTTATGGGTAACAAGGATACATGACAATTGATCAAGCAAATGAAAAGTATGCTTAAACAGAATTGGCAAGTGGAAATCAGCCTCGTGAAGTCATTCAATATGCTGACTAACTTGGCAATCGCAGTTTGCTTCAAGAAGAGTTCATCTATGTCTGCTGGTTAATGTTATGGTAGCTCTTGTTCTGTGTGTGACTTCTGTTTACTTTTTCTTCTTTGGGACTATAGTCCCGTTATCTCATTTTATGTATTTATGGGATATCTCATTTATAAAGTCAGCAGTTAAAAAATGTGTTCAAACATTCATTGTGGGTATACGGTAACAAGGTATAAACTATCATATATGAGCATGATAGTCAGAACAGTTACATATTCTGATAAGTAGAATTTCCCCTTTTAACAATAAGCTAGTAGAATGCAGAGGACAACAGCCTTTCGTTGAATTGCTAAATGGTGTAGAACAAATTACTGGGTAAGTTTTTCGCATAACCACAGTCCCAAAAGTAGTTGGGTATTATATGATTGAAGTTTGGATTTGAGTGACTTTTGGCAGGTTGTTTTATATTATTTTCTTGGAGCAGGTTATATTTACAAAAAAAATGTTTATAAATTTTTTTTTTACAAACTCTTACAAACTACACTATCTTTTTCCAGAAAAACATTAAGTTTAACTGTGTTGTCCCTGAAAGAAGATAGTGTAATTTGTAAAAATTTATCAAAAAAATTTCAGAGATGATATACACTAGTTCGCCCTTTGTAAGTATAGATGCATATTTTATCTATTGGGCCTCTATCCATAAATGTGTAGGTTTTGAAGAGCAAATTAACATCCAATCTTGCGTATCAGCCTGGTTGATTTACATAAAAATATCCAATTCGCGTTGAAGGCTTTCTTTACCTCCGATTAACCATTCGGAGGGCAGTACTTACCCAATCTCTCAAAAGATTTTTATAGTATTAGTATTCGATGTAGCTTCTTTCCTTTTTGAAAGGGGAAGTCAGACAAAACATTGTTTAGAGAATAAAAACAAGTAGCATCTTAAACTCTTCTCAAACAAAGACCAATCTTCAGCCATTCAGGGCTCTAACTGACAATCTCTTGCTCTAAAAACGATTTTCCAACATTCTCCATTGATAACTTCATTAATCTCCACCATTAATTTTTTGGTGAAAAATTAATCAAACTTATGAGTTGTTTAGTGAAATAGAAGGATTTTCATTAACTCAGTATGTGACATTTATTCACATAAATTTAATTTGTGAGCTGCTTCAAAGGTAACTTGAACATTTTCTAAGCCAAGAGCTTCGACAAATAGTTTGTGAAATTAACAATTTACAAGATCAAACACCAAATGTCTTTAGTTTTATTTTAGCTTAGTTTTATAAGAATTTATTTTTAGCTTTATTTTTAAATAGGTTTTATGAAGAAAAAAAGAGAGGTGAAACATACTCTTAGGCTGAATCAAATCTCAAGATCAAGCAAGAACATGAACTAGACAAAATCACGAAGAAACCATGAATAGTACAATATTTAATTCAAAACACTCCAAAGAGCATAGATAAAATTAAGGGGAATGCTACTCTCATTTTACATGAGAGTAGTTCTTTTATGTTATAGAGAGAAATCATGTGGGACCCACCATTAAAGGATAAAAAAGAAAAAAGAAAAAAAATGAGTGAGATTTTCGAAGTAAGATAACATGAGAGAACTGCTCTCATATAAAATAAGAGTAATATTTCTCTAAAATTAAATATCGTCCAGAAAGACGCAAATGCCAATATACAACAGGACCAAAAGACCAATAGCAAATTACAATAGTGGAGCAAATGAAGTTGTGAAACTGAAACATCACTACAACATCTCAATGAGTATTTCCTATCACCTTTTTATAAGTATACCTCTTAGCAATCCAAAGATAAACAAGAAAGTTGAGCAAGCTAAGAATGGTCAAAAGCCAATAGAAGTAATCAAGATGGCCCCTATTCAGATTGTCAGGAATCCAACCAAGCCTTCCATTGCTTGTGGTGACTTTTGTCACAATAATAACAAGCAAAGTGCTCACATAATTTCCCAATGCATTAGTTGTGAGTGATAGAGCAGCACAAAGGCTTCTCATGGCATCAGGTGCTTGACCATAAAAGAACTCCATTTGACCAATGTTAGTGAAAACTTCTGCAGCCCCCACAAGAAAATACTGAGGCACTTGCCAGAAGATTGACATGGGGATAGTTTCAAGATCATAGTAGTTGTTTTTTCTCACCATGTCAAGTCTAACAACCTCTAAAATGCCAGCAACAATCATGGAAATAATGGAAATGACAAGGCCAATGCCTATTCTTTGAAGCTGTGTGAATCCTTGTTCATGACCAGTGAACTTTCTTGCATATGGGACAATGATGCGGTCATAAACTGGGGCCCAGAAGATGACTCTTAGAGTGTCAAAAAGGGAGAGAGATGCTGATGGAATTTTGAAGTGAGGGCCAATGTGTTGGTCCATTGTGTTGCCTTGTAATACAAACATAGTGCTCATTTGACTGTATACAGTTGCAAAAGCAATCAGTGATGCCCAAACTGGGAGCAAATGGACTATTGACTTGAGCTCCTCAACTTGTGTTACTGTGGAGAGTCTCCATGGATTTGGCAAATCCTTAATGCGATCAGATGCTAC